TCTTTTCTTGCTCCTGTCACTGGTTCTGTAAGCTCCATTTCAACAATCACATTTGTGCCATTGGAATTAGCAAGACATCGTCACCGAAATGAGCAATATAATTGTCTCATACTTCTTTCTCTGACAATGATCAGTAGTTGAATCACACAGAGATAGATGTTGCATTAGTTCTCTCGTGGAGATATATATTCTGTGTCATTTATGATAATCACTTTTCACGTTTGCATTTAAATACTTAGTGGTTTTATTTTTTTTAAATAAATTATCCTTTATCCACAATCTGTGACTATGCAATCCTTTTCCCACAGATGTTGCACTTAGCCTCACTACATGTGTTAATCTGCAAGTTGCAAAATTCCTTTAATTGTTAAAATAAACCCACTTGCTACATCTATCTAATCCCGTGAAGTCTGAAAAACATATGGTACATGCTTTCTGAAATTCTAGTGCTTTATATCAATCCTCTTGGAAAATTCCAAGTGAAAGTGATTTGTATAGCTTTCTATCAATTCATGGCTTTTAAGACAACAAACCCACTCATGACCTATGATTTGTATTGAATTATAATTCACTTATTTCTGAAATTGTCACATTTGCATATTAATGAGACATTTTACTAAAACGTCAACTGGTATAAGCAAAATACATGCTGGTGGTAACATGTCAATTCGACATCGGAATAGCGTTTTTGATTGTGGTAGAAAAGGTAACTTAAATTTATGAAACTTTGCAAAAAAAGTTGACTCGAGTGAAAGAAATGTCATATGCATTAATAACAACCATGACTCGTTGAGTATAACCTCTATATATGGCAGCAACTAGTTAAACAGTTCGATGATTTATCATCCAAATTAATAACAAATGTTCAACAGAGGACCACAGACAAAATGTACCAAGATGTTTGGTGTCACGTTATCAACCTAAAGGCCTGAGTCACTGGCTTGTGTAAGTCTACGTTTTACGTATTTTTTTTATTTCACAATTAAGTTTTTCTATGTACTTATGGCGATGTTTACTTCGATCTGACATAATATTCAAATTAAATAACAAGTCGAAGTGGTTATTTAATTTGATTATTAAAATGAAACTATATCTAATTATATGAAAATATGCAACTACGTCCGATTTCCTGCTGGGCACAGCTATCGTTTATAAGATAACCTGTAAAGCGAAAACAAGAAAACAAGTGAAGCATTCTTATGATACAGCTAAAAAAACGCGAAAGAACATTTTGCCAGATATGAGCTGTCGTACAATACAGAGCCACCGTGTGTGACGATTAGACACGTCACAGTGTTGGATAGGATTCGTTATTCCATGACGTTATCATGGAAGTGGAAAGTAATTCTTATACTGTCAAGGCTGATTCTACCATCAAAATAAAATCGCTAAACGGCCCCATTCTCCTCCATAACGACACTGTTTTTCACTCCCGTTTTTTCCTAAATTAATGGGATCGGCAATTTCCGGATATTTTGTACAGAGACCGCGATTTACTTTTAGTATAGCCTTACTGTCAAGCGTCTTCGTGACGTGACTGAAAAAAACCAGACGAGAACTACCGAAGTTTGGTGGAATAAAAAAAGGTAATTTATAATTAAAACACGTATATCAGTAGTTTTGTGAAAGCCAACAAATCTATGTAGCAATATGTGAAGCCGTTAATGACATATTTGAGACATTATTGAGTGTAGGTTCTATTTTTAACATTACCGGAAAAAAATAGACTAGTTTCACTTTCATAATACCTAAGGATCTTCTATGGACGCAGGTCTCTCCGACCACTATGTCCGCATCTAATTTATCAGTTTTATCATTTGTAATGTTAACCACGTGACATCTTCCGGTATTGTCTATATACAAATTGTGGTTATATTTTACTTCCTGGTCTTTCCAGTCCTGCTTCAAAACTTATAATAGTTTTTGCTTGCACCACTGATTCTGGTAGGTTATTCCAATTTTCCACAGATCTGTGAGTAAAGCTGATCTTCCTCGTGTTTGTGTTGCAGCACTGCTTTTGTACTTTAAGAAAGTGTCCCCTTGTGGATGTACTTTTTGTTTTGTCAATGAATCCATCAGTTACTTTTTTGTGATATATACCATTCATAATCTTAAACATTTCAATCATGTCTCCCCTTAAGCGTCTATATTTCAATGTTGGCATCTTTAGCTTCTTCAAACGGTCACTATAATCTAGGTCTTTTAAAGATTGAATTTGTTTTGTAGCCCTTCGTTGCACATTTTCTATAAGTTCCAAGTCCTGCTTTTTGTATGGTGACCACACTGCTTGAGCGTACTCTAAGTGAGGTCTTATGAGTGCCTGGAACAAGTATCTATAACTAACCTTGTCCAAATAGCTATATGTTCTCCTAATTAGACCCATGATGCTGTTTGCTTTGTTGACCTGCTGTTTAATATGCTTTCCAAATTTGAGATGTGTTCTAACTCTTCTTCCTCACCATTTTGACTGTATAGATGGTAATTAAACTCTTCTTTGGGTCATTTCCGTGCACTAATTGTCATCACTTTGTACTTTTTTGGGTGGAATTTCAGCAGCCAAGTGTCTGACCATTTCTACAACATATCTAAATCCTCCTGTAACTTCTTGGCGTCTTCCAATTTTGTAATTTTTGAATATATCTTTGTGTCATCAGCAAATAAATATGTTGATGCATTTACATGATCTGGCAAGTCATTGATGTACAAGACAAACACTATTGGACGAAGTACGCTCCCCTGAGGAATTCCGCATGTAACACCGTGTTCTTTGGACTCTGATCTGTTCACGTTGACTTTTTGTTTTCTGTTCGCGAGAAATGCAGTTGTCCTTTGAGCAATACCATATGCTGTCAACTTCTTTATAAGTCTTCTATGTGGAACCTTATCAAAGGCTTTCATGAAGTCCATGAACACAGCATCATTAGTGCCACCTTTGTCTAGTATCTCTGTCTAGTCTTCCATGACTCTAAGGAGTTGTAATGTTGTGGACCTGCCTGATATGAATCCGTACTGTCTGGTACTGAACAGGTTGTTCATAATCATATGGTAAATCATATGGTCACTTTTTCGACTTTGTGATCTCACGGCTTCTGTGTAGATCAGCTGATCTGTGTTATAGTCATTTGTATCAGTTACACTACAGTGATGGGAATAAATGAACCAAAATTAGTAAATTATACCTTTAGCAGTTTGATAACTTAAAAATCTTTGTTGGCTAGTTTCCTTCAGTAGTTTTTGCTATATTTACATATGTTTTGTGCCAATCATATGCTATTAGTTGTTTTGGTGAAAAATAGAAAAAAAACTATCCAATCTATGTTAGTGGAACACAATAAATTCAAATTAACAAATTAAAAGACGCATGTTTAGCTTATGTGGGTCTAAGGCTGTAATTATTACTTTAAAGATGCATGCATGGTTACATTTCCGGAATTTTCAAGGAAATTGTACACATGAACTTAACACAAAAAGTTTTACAAATATATGCAAAGTAAAGTTAATTTTTAGATAATATCAAAGCATTCCTATGTGTACTGGGGAAAATGTTTCTGTTTATCTCTAGGATGCAATAAAAAATAGAAATAAAATTAGGACAAAAAACCCCTAATGTATCGAGGGTCAGTGTTTTTAGCAAAGTTAGCTAAGAATAGCCTAAAATGAAGAAAATGGCACCTAGAAATCAAAACATTTTCCGGGGTAGGGGGACCCCGACATCCAGAACCCCCATTCCATCCCCCTGTGAATTCATCTACTCTGAAATACAAATCATAGCGTAGGCATATACAATAGTATATCAAAGATTTGTCTTTATGAGGCCTCCTTAGGTTTGTTTCAGTTATTTTGATTATTACGCACAGTTCAAATAAATGTACAGTTTGTAATGATAGAGCTGTTTACAGAACTGGAAATGTGGTTTCTTTATTATTTAGGTATCAAAGTATCTTCAAAATATGTATAATTTTCTTAGTTTTTTGTTATACAAAAATTGAAATAATAAATACAATCTGAATATATGGATCATTTTAATTTAATTTCTAGAGATTTCGGTTAAGGATCATTCATGATTAGATATGGAAAATAGCTTTTAAATGTTATATGAAATACTCAACACAATGTGTTAGTGATATACTGTGTCGTCGCAATGTGTTCCCCATAGGTCTGTCATAGACAGATATTGTTCATTGTGTTTAAAGTCATAAGCAACTAGCATTGCTTAAGCATGAATATCTCGGCGACTTCCTACATCTTCTGTGGATTAATATTATGTTGAAATATGACTGTTATTTACTGATGCATCACTATGAGAATGTCAATTTACTTATGTATTAAATTGAGTTCACCATTCATGGCAAGCTAAAAGTGAAGCACTCCAAAATCTCCATTACCCCTGAGCTAAGTAAGAGACATTGACAGACTCCATATTTCAAACAAGATTCATTTTTCAGAACACATGATATGAGTGGTACAGTGAAAAATGGTTAACATTTTCAAGTGAAATATTTATCAGATGTGAAAATGAAAAAAATATCTTTAATTTTCCCTAGTACAAATGAGACAGCTTTAAAGTATGACAACACATTTCCTTACTGTTAAATACCATGTACATGATCCATTGTGTGCACCTTTTCACACATTAAAATCCATATTTGTTAAATTTTTACTTCTGCTCACATTAAAATTTACCAGAAGTGGAAAAATATATATATATATATAATATATATATATATATATATATAAATACCTACCCTCTGACCCCTATTACCTAAAGAACTACTGTTAAAATTGGTGTGCCTTACATGATTGTTAATTTGTTTGATTTTAAATCATATTCCATCATCTAGAATATATCATAATTTGAGGTGTATGTCAGGATTATATAAAGTGTAATTATAAGTAACAACATTACAATGTACTGCAGCAAGACATCAGACTTTTACAGTACCTTCCAATTATTAAAATCTGATCACTTATTTTCTTGTTTATAGTCTTGACCTCCAAAGATGGCTGCCAGGTATCAATCTACAAAGGAAACAACAAACTTTGCCCGGATTTGCAGGGTTGTGGTTGATGTTATCCCTGAACTCTTCAGGGAGCTGCTTACAGCTCAACTGTCATCACATGGGCTCACAAATGATTTATCCAACCACAAAGCTAAGATTTTTTCTCTTTTAAATCAAGAACAGAAGAAAATTCTTTATCCTTCAACTGGTCAATTCCAAGGTTCAGTAAAGGACTTTGATTTGTCACTTCTCTATCTCCTTTTGAGAAATCTTGGAAATATTCCAGATCATCAAAATGGATGGGGGCAAGTTCCAGATGCGGCAGACTGTTCATTGGCAGCAAACATCGACCGCCTTCGTTTGCAGCGAAACAAGGCCTACGGGCATACAAAAACTGCTTCTCTTTCTGATGGAGATTTTCAGACTAGATGGGATGTTATCCGCCAAAGTGTTGAGGATATAGAGAAAAATCATCTGAGATCAGGGTTGTTTGTAGCAGAATTGAATAACATACTGACAATGACAATGGACCCCGCTACAGAGGAGAGATATGTTAAAGACCTTGGAAATATTGAAGGTAAACACAGAGGAGAGATATGTTATAGTCCTAGTAAATATTGAAGGTAAACAGAGGAGAGATATGTTATAGTCCTAGTAAATGTTTAAGGTAAACACAGAGGAGATATATGTTATTGTCCTGGTAAATGTTTAAGGTAAACAGAGGAGAGATATGTTATAGTCCTAGTAAATGTTTAAGGTAAACACAGAGGAGAGATATGTTATAGTCCTGGTAAATGTTTAAGGTAAACACAGAGAAGAGATATGTTATAGTCCTAGTAAATGTTTAAGGTAAACAGAGAAGAGATATGTTATAGTCCTGGTAAATGTTTAAGGTAAACACAGAGAAGAGATATGTTATAGTCCTAGTAAATGTTTAAGGTAAACAGAGAAGAGATATGTTATAGTCCTGGTAAATGTTTAAGGTAAACACAGAGGAGAGATATGTTATAGTCCCAGTAAATGTTTAAGGTAAACAGAGAGGAGAGATATGTTATAGTCCTAGTAAATGTTTAAGGTAAACACAGAGGAGAGATATGTTATAGTCCTAGTAAATGTTTAAGGTAAACACAGAGGAGAGATATGTTATAGTCCTAGTAAATGTTTAAGGTAAACAGAGGAGAGATATGTTATAGTCCTAGTAAATGTTTAAGGTAAACAGAGGAGAGATATGTTATAGTCCTAGTAAATGTTTAAGGTAAACACAGAGGAGAGATATGTTATAGTCCTAGTAAATGTTTAAGGTAAACACAGAGGAGAGATATGTTATAGTCCTAGTAAATGTTTAAGGTAAACACAGAGGAGAGATATGTTATAGTCCTAGTAAATGTTTAAGGTAAACACAGAGGAGAGATATGTTATAGTCCTAGTAAATGTTTAAGGTAAACACTGAGGAGAGATATGTTATAGTCCTAGTAAATGTTTAAGGTAAACACAGAGGAGAGATATGTTATAGTCCTAGTAAATGTTTAAGGTAAACACTGAGGAGAGATATGTTATAGTCCTAGTAAATGTTTAAGGTAAACACAGAGGAGAGATATGTTATAGTCCTAGTAAATGTTTAAGGTAAACACAGAGGAGAGATATGTTATAGTCCTAGTAAATGTTTAAGGTAAACAGAGTAGAGATATGTTATAGTCCTAGTAAATGTTTAAGGTAAACAGAGTAGAGATATGTTATAGTCCTAGTAAATGTTTAAGGTAAACACAGAGGAGAGATATGTTATAGTCCTAGTAAATGTTTAAGGTAAACACAGAGGAGAGATATGTTATAGTCCTAGTAAATGTTTAAGGTAAACAGAGAAGAGATATGTTATAGTCCTAGTAAATGTTTAAGGTAAACACAGAGGAGAGATATGTTATAGTCCTAGTAAATGTTGAAGGTAAACACAGAGAAGAGATATGTTATAGTCCTAGTAAATGTTTAAGGTAAACAGAGGAGAGATATGTTATAGTCCTAGTAAATGTTTAAGGTAAACACAGAGGAGAGATATGTTATAGTCCTAGTAAATGTTTAAGGTAAACACAGAGGAGAGATATGTTATAGTCCTAGTAAATGTTTAAGGTAAACACAGAGGAGAGATATGTTATAGTCCTAGTAAATGTTTAAGGTAAACACAGAGGAGAGATATGTTATAGTCCTAGTAAATGTTTAAGGTAAACACAGAGGAGAGATATGTTATAGTCCTAGTAAATGTTTAAGGTAAACACAGAGGAGAGATATGTTATAGTCCTAGTAAATGTTTAAGGTAAACACAGAGGAGAGATATGTTATAGTCCTAGTAAATGTTTAAGGTAAACACAGAGGAGAGAATCTTTGGCTAAGATAATCTATCATCAAACATGAATTTAAGAATGTAGTTAATACATGAAAATTTACTGTATTGTTCTGCTAATGTTTGAAGTAATTTTACAAGTTTTAATCTGCAATTGTATGAAGACAAGTCCTTTTCATCTTTTCATGTGGTCTGCTATCCACTCTTTATTAAGATTAACAGTATAATACATATTGTCCTGCCATCATCAGGTATAGATATTAGTATATTTTATATAGTTAGGTTATGATACAGTCACTCATTGTTTTTGGACTTATGCTTTTAAATTGTATCAACAGATTATAGATAAAGAAAATTAAAATTATTTTCCTGCAAACATTTTAACAGACACCATCGCTGATTTGAGAGACAATATCACTGCTGTCACAGATAATGTCACGGCTGTGAAGAGTGATGTCACTGCTGTGAAGGATGACGTCACTGGAATGAAGGATAAAGTCGGTGCTGTGAGGGATGATGTGACTGCTGTAAAGAATGATGTCAGTTCTGTTAGGGATGAAGTCACTGCTGTGAAGGATGATGTCACTGGTATGAAGGATAAAGTCGGTGTTGTGAGGGATGATGTGACTGCTGTAAAGAATGATGTCACTACTGTGCAGGATAATGTCGATGCTATGAGGGGTGAAGTTGGTGTTTTGAAGGATGATGTCACTGCTGTGGGGGGTAAAGTCAGTGCTGTGAGTGATGATGTCACTGTGGTGAAGAATGCTGTCACTGCTGTGCAGGATGATGTCAGTGCTGTGAGGGGTAAAGTCGGTGCCTTGAAGTATGATGTCTCTGCTGTGAGGGGTGAAGTCACTGCTGTGAGGGATGATGTTGATGCTGTGAAGGAGGATGTCACAGCAGTGAGGGATGATGTGAAGACCGCGAAAGATCTTTTTTTCTCATCAAATGGAGGTATGATAATCTTACTAATATCATAATATCAACAGACCCATGTATTAATATAGTAAAACCCTGAAAAGTCAAACTCATCGGGACTATATTTAATAATTTGAAGAATTCAGGGTATACAAGTAATCAGAGGTTGATCCATCCGTGTCCATGATTGACATATACAATATACAATTCTTTGTCCAATCCTGTATAGGATAATTATTAAGTTTGATCAATTTTCAATTTCAATTTGTTTAAAAAACACAAGATACCAGCCTATATTCAGCAGAAAGCCTGCCATGAAGAACAATGGTTTCTTAAAATTAGTGTTTGTAGGATAAACAAGGTGGGAAGATTTACAACATTTAATCTAATATGGACTATTACCATCATACATAAAGTCATTAAATCACAAGGATATAGACAGACCTGTGTATTATGATATAGACTGACCTGTGTAGTGTGATATAGACTGACCTGTGTATTGTGATATAGACAGACCTGTGTATTATGATATAGACTGACCTGTGTATTGTGATATAGACTGACCTGTGTATTGTGATATAGACTGACCTGTGTATTGTGATATAGACTGACCTGTGTATTAAAGATATTGACTGACCTGTGTATTATAATATAGACTGACCTGTGTATTATGATATAGACTGACCTGTGTATTATGATAAAGACTGACCTGTGTATTATGATATTGACTGACCTGTGTATTATGATATTGACTGACCTGTGTATTATGATATAGACTGACCTGTGCATTAAGGATATTGACTGACCTGTGTATTATGATATAGACTGACCTGTGTATTAAGGATATTGACTGACCTGTGTATTAAGGATATTGACTGACCTGTGTATTATGATATTGACTGACCTGTGTATTATGATATAGACTGACCTGTGTATTATGATAAAGACTGACCTGTGTATGATGATATTGACTGACCTGTGTATTATGATATAGACTGACCTGTGTATTATGATAAAGACTGACCTGTGTATTATGATATAGACTGACCTGTGTATTATGATATAGACTGACCTATGTATCAGGATATAGACTGAACTGTGTATCAGGATATAGACTGACCTGTGTATTATGATATTGACTGACCTGTGTATTATGATATAGACTGACCTGTGTATCAGGATATAGACTGACCTGTGTATTATGATATAGACTGACCTGTGTATTATGATATAGACTGACCTGTGTATTATGATATAGACTGACCTGTGTATCAGGATATAGACTGACCTGTGTATTATGATATAGACTGACCTGTGTATTATGATATAGACTGACCTGTGTATCAGGATATAGACTGACCTGTGTATTATGATATAGACTGACCTGTGTATCAGGATATAGACTGACCTGTGTATTATGATATAGACTGACCTGTGTATTAAGGATATTGACTGACCTGTGTATTAAGGATATTGACTGACCTGTGTATTAAGGATATTGACTGACCTGTGTATCAGGATATAGACTGACCTGTGTATTATGATATTGACTGACCTGTGTATTATGATATAGACTGACCTGTGTATTAAGGATATTGACTGACCTGTGTATCAGGATATGGACTGACCTGTATATCAGGATATTGACTGACCTCTGTATTAAGGATATTGACTGACCTGTGTATCGGGATATGGACTGATCTGTGTATTATGATATTGACTGACCTGTGTATTATGATATAGACTGACCTGTGTATAAAGGATATTGACTGACCTGTGTATTTAGGATATTGACTGACCTGTATATCAGGATATTGACTGACCTGTGTATTAAGGATATTGACTGACCTGTGTATCAGGATATAGACTGACCTGTGTATTATGATATTGACTGACCTGTGTATTATGATATAGACTGACCTCTGTATTATGATATTGACTGACCTCTGTATTAAGGATATTGACTGACCTGTCTATCAGGATATAGACTGACCTGTGTATTATGATATTGACTGACTTGTGTATTATGATATAGACTGACCTGTGTATTAAGGATATTGACTGACCTGTGTATTTAGGATATTGACTGACCTGTATATCAGGATATTGACTGACCTGTGTATTAAGGATATTGACTGACCTGTGTATCAGGATATAGACTGACCTGTGTATTATGATATTGACTGACCTGTGTATTATGATATAGACTGACCTCTGTATTATGATATTGACTGACCTGTGTATTAAGGATATTGACTGACCTGTCTATCAGGATATAGACTGACCTGTGTATTATGATATTGACTGACCTGTGTATTATGATATAGACTGACCTGTGTATTATGATATTGACTGACCTGTGTATTATGATATTGACTGACCTGTGTATTATGATATAGATTGAGCTGTGTATCAGAATATTGCCTGACCTGTGTATTAAGGATATTGACTGACCTGTGTATTAAGGATATTGACTGACCTGTGTATTATGTTATTGACTGACCTGTGTATTATGATATTAACTGACATGTGTATCAGGATATTGACTGACCTGTGTAGTAAGGATATTGACTGACCTGTGTATCAGGATATAGACAGACCTGTGTATAAGGATATAGACTGACCTGTGTATCACGATATAGACGGACCTGTGTATCAGGATATTGACTGACCTGTGTATTATGATATTGACTGACCTGTGTATTATGATATAGACTGACCTGTGTATTAAGGATATTGACTGACCTGTGTATCAGGATATAGACAGACCTGTGTATAAGGATATAGACTGACCTGTGTATAAGGATATAGACTGACCTGTGTATTATGTTATTGACTGACCTGTGTATTATGATATTAACTGACATGTGTATCAGGATATTGACTGACCTGTGTATAAGGATATAGACTGTGTATTAAGGATATTGACTGACCTGTGTATTTAGGATATTGACTGACCTGTGTATATATTGACTGAGGTATATTGACTGACCTGTGTATTAAGGATATTGACTGACCTGTGTATCAGGATATAGACTGACCTGTGTATCAGGATATTGACTGACCTGTGTATTATGATATTGACTGACCTGTGTATTATGATATAGACTGACCTGTGTATTAAGGATATTGACTGACCTGTGTATCAGGATATAGACTGACCTGTGTATTATGATATTGACTGACCTGTGTATTATGATATAGACTGACCTGTGTATTATGATATTGACTGACCTGTGTATTAAGGATATTGACTGACCTGTGTAAAAAGATATTGACTGACCTGTGTATTATGATATAGACTGACCTGTGTATCAGGATATAGACTGACCTGTGTATCAGGATATAGACTCACCTGTGTATTATGATATTGACTGAGCTGTGTATTAAGATATTGACTGACCTGTGTATTAAGGATATTGACTGACCTATGTATTATGATATTGACTGACCTCTATATTAAGGATATTGACTGACCTGTGTATTATGATATAGACTGACCTGTGTATTATGATATTGACTGACCTGTGTATCAGGATATTGACTGACCTGTGTATCAGGATATTGACTGACCTGTGCATTAAGGATATTGACTGACCTGTGTATTATGATATTGACTGACCTGTGTATTAAAGATATTGACTGACCTGTGTATTATGATATAGACTGACCTTGTATCAGGATATTGACTGACCTGTGTATTAAGGATATTGACTGACCTGTGTATTAAAGATATTGACTGACCTGTGTATTATGATATTGACTGACCTGTGTATTATGATATAGACTGACCTGTGTATTATGATATTGACTGACCTGTGTATTATGATATAGACTGACCTTGTATCAGGATATTGACTGACCTGTGTATTAAGGATATTGACTGACCTGTGTATTAAAGATATTGACTGACCTGTGTATTATGATATTGACTGACCTGTGTACCTGTGTATCAGGATATTGACTGACCTGTGTATAAAGGATATTGACTGACCTGTGTATTATGATATTGACTGACCTGTGTATTATGATATTGACTGACCTGTGTATTATGGTAAAGACTGAGCTGTGTATCAGAATATTGCCACACCTGTGTATTAAGGATATTGACTGACCTGTGTATTATGATATTGACTGACCTGTGTATTATGATATAGACTGACCTGTGTATTATGATATTGACTGACCTGTGTATTATGATATAGACTGAGCTGTGTATCAGAATATTGCCTGACCTGTGTATTAAGGATATTGACTGACTTGTGTATTAAGGATATTGACTGACCTGTGTATTATGATATTGACGGACCCGTGTATCAGGATATAGACAGACCTGTGTATTAAGGATATTGACTGACCTGTGTATCAGGATATAGACGGACCTGTGTATTATGATATTGACTGACCTGTGTATTATGATATAGATTGAGCTGTGTATCAGAATATTGCCTGACCTGTGTATTAAGGATATTGACTGACCTGTGTATTAAGGATATTGACTGACTTGTGTATTAAGGATATTGACTGACCTGTGTATTAAGGATATTGACTGACCTGTGTATTAAGGATATTGACTGACCTGTGTATTAAGGATATTGACTGACCTGTGTATTAAGGATTATGACTGACCACTGTATTAAGGATATTGACTGACCTGTGTATTAAGGATATTGACTGACCTGTGTATTAAGGATATTGACTGACCTGTGTAAAATGATTTTGACAGATCTGTGTATCAGGATATTTTCTAACACCCAGATATGGTAGAATCGAATGTTCTGAATGGAAGCATTTTAATGCTTTAATTACCAAACTGAACCTAACATTTTTCCATGGGAAGGATTTTTTTTAGTCTTTACTTTAATTTTCATAGAAAAATTGAATGAGTATAACATTGGTTATTTTCCTCTGGAAATAACTTTGTAAGAATTATTAGTATAAGATGATGCATTTATTGACACTGACTTACTTTTTCAGTGTCACAATTTCTTTTTCATGACTCTTGATAACCATCCTTTAACCTTTATATTTATTATTGTTTATCTCGGGTGACCGTCAAGGCTGCTAGGCCTCTTTATATTTTTAGGTCGCCTGAGCCAAAGGCTCATGGTGACCTATTGCCATCATGATTTGTCTGTCGTCGTGCGCGGTGCGTCATTAACTTTTCACATATACAACCTCTTCTCAAGAACCACTGAATGGATTTTGACCAAACTTGGCACAAAGCATCCCCATGGGAAGCCGCTTCAAGTTTGCGAAGAAAAAGGGCGTGGCCGCAATAGGGGCCTGAGGAGGGGGAAAAAGGGGGTAAAATTAGGTAAATCTTTAAAATTCTTCTTATGAACCAACAGTCAGATTAAATTCATATATGATATTTAGGGTCCTTATGGCAAGGTCTACAAAGTTTGTGAATGAAAAAAAAAATTGGGTCAAAAACGGCCCCACTAGGGGGCGCTCAAAAGGGTCAAAAATTCAACTTTGACCAATTTCAACCAAATTTGGTAGAAAGCATCTCTTAGTGAAGGACATATGAAATTATGTTGAAAAAAGTAATTATGTGCCCTTTGGGGCCCATAAGGGGTGTAAAAGGGGCCATATGTAAAAAAAAAACCTTCTTTAAATGGCTTCTCAAGAACCATTGGATGCTTTTTTACCAAACTTGGCATAGAGCATCCCCATGGGAAGCTGCTTCAAGTTTGCGAAGAAAAAGGGTGTGGCCCCAATAGGGTCGCAGGAGGGGGGAAAAAGGGGGGAAAATTAGGTAAATATTTAAAAATCTTCTTCTCATGAACCAACAGTCAGATTAAATACATATTTGATATTTAGGGTCCCAATGGCAAGGTCTATAAAGATTGCGAATGAAAAAACAAAATCAGGGAAAAAAAGGCCCCACTAGGGGGCGCTCAAAAGGGTCGAAAATTTAACTTTAACTGATTTCAACCAAATTTGGTAGACAGCATCCCTTAGTGAAGGACATATGAAAGTATGTGGAAAAAAGTGATAATTTCCCCTTTTTGGCCCATAAGCTGTGTAAAAGGGGCCATATGTAAAAACCTTCATTAAATGACTACTTCTCAAGAACCAGTGGATGGATTTTGACCAAACTTGGCAGAAAACATCCCCATGGGAAGCCGCTTCAAGTTTGTGAAGAAAAAGGGCGTGGCCCCAGGAGGGGGAAAATGGGGAAACTTGATACGAATGTTCTACACAAGGTCCTTGCAAGTGTTTTAGCTTTTTGGGGCGATTCAAATTTCAAGATGGCCACCCTGGCCTCTGTTTGGCTAAGACATTATGGACTTCCTCGCAAGAACCATTGGGTGGGTCATGTTCAAATTTGGTACAGATGTTTTACACATGGTCCTGCACAAGTGTTGTTACATTTTTGCAACATTTTAAAATCCCCAGATTATTGACATATATTCCACAGGTGACCGTTAAGGCCCTTGGGCCTTATGTTCCTTCTCTTGATGGTATATACCATATGATTAATTTACCTCTCAATACAACATATCATGAAGAGCAAATTGGAGGAAAGAAGAGAATAGAAGGGAAAAGATCCAACAAATAAACAATAAAAATCATGGAGATGAGGAATTTTAATGCCAATATGATTTTGATGAACAGATAGTTCGGTATGTCAACATATCTAACCTTTGGTGTTGGCGCCAGAGGAAACGTGGAGGGACATGTCTAATGAAGATCCATGGAATATAATTAGTCTTAAACCACTCAGGAATAATTCATCTGTTTTAAATTTCAGCAACTCCTACTTAATATGTGAATCTTTTTTTTTTCAGAAATCCATGCTGACCTAAGACCTTTGATTGGTAAGTTGCATCTGGACAAAGCGTTTGTTGTGTGCAAAAATAGAGCAGATTTCTCAAAACCAGAATCACAATATGACTGGGCATTGTGTGCGAAAATCAAGCAGATTTGTCAAAACCATTATCTCAACAACCTGCATCCACAGCACCGTAATGGAAATATGGAATAATTTTGACCTATTTTATTCTGTTTATCTACAGAAATATCTTGAAAGTAAGATTTATTCCCTGTATAGCTTACATCAAATCCTTCTCTCCGTTCTTATACATTATAGTGTGGTATAGAATTGGACAATACACACATTTTCAATGGGTCATGGATTGGTGAAAGCGTACTTGATTCAGTCATTCCTTAAAACATTTTTTAGTTTTGCATATTATACAAAAATATGTAAAATTGAATGGAAATAATCATATTAGACTGTGTTTTGTAAAAGCGATGCATGACTCTCCTTGAGTCTAGAGGTTGGGGCTCCATTCTGGGAAGGAGAAATACTGTATACAGATTTCATGTTCATTCACACTGTTAACCAACAAACAACCTAAACTTATAAAAAATCAACAATATCAATACTTTGCTTCTTTAGCATTTGTTTTCCTCATTTTCTTATAGTTAAAACCAAAGAGAGGATCACAACAGATAAAAAGAAGAAAAAGTTCTTGGAGACCAAAGGGTTTCGTGATGCTCAAGAGAAACTAAAAAAGAACAGAGTCATAATGATCAAGGGTAATACAGGAGATGGCAAGACTTCAATTGCCATTCAACTCATGGACTGGTTGATCAAGGAGCAGCAATGCAGACAACCTCTTCAGCTTCATGAAATCAAGAAATTAGAGAAAATGTCTCCAAACTTGCGTTTGGTGACTTTAATTGATGATATTTTTGGAGAGAAAGATGTTGAACGCAATGACGTACGAGAGTGGAACAAAAGAATCACTGATATAGAAACTCTTTTTGCTGATGAACAAACCTATCCCAATTTTTTAATTGTAACTATTCGTAATGAAATATATAATGTTTTGGCAAAGTGGTCTTTGGAACCAGTTTTCACCAAACATAATACTATTGACCTGAGTTCGGACACATACAGGATTTTAGAGGAAAGAAAAAACCTTCTTAAAATGTATACACCAAACAATTATGAATGGGAAGAGAAAGAAACAGAAGATATTTTGAAATGTGCATCGAGCATTGGGTTTCCACAGTGCTGCAACATTTTCTATAACTCTGAGGAATTGCAGAAAAGTCGTGGGAAATTTTTTGAGAAACCTTTTAAAGTTTTAATTGAAGCATTGTCAAGATTACCACAATGTTCTGCCATTTTGTTTCTTTTCTTCAATGGAGGGAATGTAAAAGTTAATGATTTAGACCCAAACAGTGATAAAATCAACAAAACATTGCTAGAGGAATCATTTGATATTAATCTGATTGATGGTGAGGATGACAGAACAGCATTGACTTACAAGCAGAAAGTAGGATTTGTAAAAGAAAGTTTAGACAGATTACTAGGATTTTTAGTAGTGAAGGAGGAATATTGGTCTGGTGATGAAGTGTACAGATTTAATCATGATTCTGTACATACCACAGTAGCTCTTTTGTATGGGAACAAAACCCCAATTGGTTATATACAAAATTGTCCAGTGAAATCCCTCGGTTATCTCACGCTTGCAGAAACATCGTCTGATATGATTGTCATATCACCAGATCATTATACATATCTGCGAGAACGTCTAGTGAGAGAGTTTGAGTGTGAGAAATATCTTCATGATATTAAGTCTCTAGATGTATGGAAAGATCCTGAATTTGTTGTAAGCTTTGTCGAATTGTTAAATGAGAGAAAAGTTGATAAACTTGCTGTGTTAAATAGAGCATGTCTTCATGGTTTAAAAGAATGTGGTTTATATCTTCTGAGTGAGGGAGTCAAACCAGATGAGTACACAAACTGGTGGTCATTGATTACAGGAGGTGATGAGTATAGTGTGTTTGGTCGTGGTGAGGGAGATGTGGATGTACTTAAGAAAGTCTTTAAATACCTGAATGATAAGAAAAAACTTGACTTGTTAAATGAAGCATGTCGTTCTGGTTCAAAAGAATGTGGTCTACATCTTCTGAGTGAGGGAGTCAAACCTGACAAGGACACAAACTGGTGGTCATTGATTACAGGAGGTGATGTGTCTAGTTGTGGCAAAGGAGATGAGGATGTACTTAAGAAAGTCTTTAAACACCTGAATGATAGGAAGAAACTTGAATTGTTAAAATTAGCATGTCGTTCTGGTTCAAAAGAATGTGTTTTATATCTTCTGAGTGATGGAGTGGAACCTGACAATTACACAAAGTGGTGGTCATTAATTACTGGAGGTGATGGGTATAGTAAGGGAGATGTAGATGTACTTAAGAAAGTTTTTAAATACCTGAATAATTATAAAAAACGTGTCTTGTTCAATGAAGCATGTCGTTATGGTTCAAAAGAATGTATTTTATATCTTTTGAGTGAGGGAGTAAAATCTGACAAGCACACAAAGTGGTGGTCATTGATTACAGGAGGTAGTCAGTATAGTAAGGGAGATGTGGAAGCACTTAAGAAAGTTTTTAAATACCTGAATGGTAAGGAAAAACTTGACTTATTAAATAAAGCATGTCATTCTGGTTCAAAAGAGTGTGTTTTGTATCTTTTGAGTGAGGGAGTCAAACCTGACAATAAAACACTGCTGTTTGTGGTGAGTGAAAGGAGTGTCGAATTGTTATGTAAACTACTACTGTATGACGCCACTGTATCATGGAGGGATGAGAACAATCACAATATCCTACATGTGGTGTGTCGGTGGGAGAGAGAAGAGATGGTGACTGAGTTATGTGATAAGTGTCCAGACTTGGTACATGACACTAATAATCATCTACGAACCCCGCTTCATGTAGCGGCAAGGAAGGGAAACTTATCTATATTCCAGACAGTGGAGAGAACTACACTTAAAACCTTGGATAAACAGTGTGGGACAGACAAACATGTTGTACACAGGGATTGTGAATGGGGTCAGTACATGTCTAAGTTAGTGGATAATGTAGGAAGGACAGTTTTACATATCAGTTGTAGGTGGGGAAACCAGGAGATATGTGTGTATTTATGTGAGAAATACCCATTACTGATCAAAGCAGTAGATGGTAAAGGACAGACTCCATTACATGTGAGTTGTATGAATGGGAAGAGGGAGATTTGTGTTCATTTATGCGAGAAATTTCCATCACTGACCGCAGCTGTAGACAACCGTGGCCGTCATTGTCTACATTACATAGCTGAGTCATATAGACAAGATGTAGACAAGTTCACTGAGTGTGAGACTCACGTCAAACAATACATAGAATCAACAGGATGTAAGTATGACATCACAACCATACTTGACAGGGAGGGGAAAAGTGTTTTAGACATGGTGAAAGAAACGGAAAAGAGATTGGAGAAGGAAAGAGAAATGGGAAGGTGGTGGTTGGCCTATGACAACCGTTTGTATGATCATCTTATCAAAGTGTTCGGTAAATAAATATACAGGTGATTTTTTTTCTATGAAATGTCCATTGATAATCAATACAAACCATTAACATCCATCATGTCGCCAGTCCAGGTGATGATGCTGAGTTGTTGTTATGAGGGAAAATCTATCAATTATGATGACTTTCTGTACGAGTTTGACGATCGTATTCACGCTGTGATAGAAATAGACATAAATATGTCTTCGACCAGATTCGAGTGATCGGTGTCTATTTCGCTGGAAAATATTCTGATCATACGTATCTGAATGCCATGGCCCTGGTCAGGATTAACTCTCGGGTTTGTTTAGAAATTACAAAATTTGTGATGTTATATGTTGTTTTTAATTGATAATATTTAAAAATTTTTGTGTTCAATATTAAAAACCTATTGGGAATATCTCACTATGATGAAATGAGCATTCTAATGGAAAATAAAATATATTCATGTTATTTTTAAGAAATTAAAATTATTTAAATTTTAAAATTAAAAACGATTAAGAAAATCAGTGATAACTTTATTTGAACTTCATTTAAAATGTATTTTTCTTTTGAAAATACTTCTCACTTTTTTTTCAGAACTTCATTCAATTAATATGAATACTTAAGGTACACAAAACCAAATTATTTTTCTGAGGAAACATGAGATCCTCTCTGGTTTCTCAATTAAATTTCTCAAAACTTTTTATTGTGGAAATTATCTTTTCTTCAAGTAAATATGTTGAAGGTTATAATCCGAAAGCCAAGTTATGTTGTTGCTACCCAGCAGCTATTGCAGGGTTCCATATTTTGTTTAAAGATCATAATTTGAGATTGCTTATTTCCTTATGGCTCATGTGTATGTTGAGGATTTGTTTATTTTGTAAATAATAATTAGTCATATTTTGAACAAATGATTAAGGTCACTTAATTATTGAAACTTGTCTTATTGATGAAAAACTTATTAAAAAGGTGGTATATATTATAGAGTTCAATAATGTGAACATGTGTGATGTTTATATAACAATTTATTGTTGTAAAGTGTGTGAGATCTATAATTCCTGTGTAGGTATTTTTACTGGGATATTAGATAATGCATTTGATCTAAATACTGACGATTTGGTTATTTATTACAGTTGTATCATTTGGTAATTTCCTGTTACATTGACAGAACTTGCCAATTAGTGTGAAAATGATAATGAAGTCATCTGTGTATACAGTTTAGAACTGAGTAGAATTAACATTTAATAGTAGGCCATTACATCTAATTATAAGCTGTAACAGGAGAAGATATAATACACCTGGGGTCTCCAGTACTTTTCAGGGATGGAGCTTCCCCCTGGTATGTCTTTCCAGTACAAATGTTATATTACACCTGTAGGTGACATCTGCTTTCTGGGGTCTCCAGTATTTTTCAGAAATGGAGTTTCCCCTTGGCATGTCTTGCCATTACAATTGCTATAATACACCTATAGGTGATATCTGTTTTCAGGGGTCTCTAATACTTTTCAGGGATGGAGTTTCCCTCTGGTATATCTCTACAGTAAAATTGTTATAATACTCCTGTGAATTATATCGGTAATGATATAATAATGATATTTGGAAGCAAATGGCAATGGTGGAGTGCTGTAAATTTTCCTTCTGTAAACGACATTGGTCTATTTTGTAATGATCACAGTGCTCAGTTGCTATATAGTAGACCCAGAGTTCTAGTGGTTTACTAGTTCTTTCTTTGGCTGGAGTGTTATAACTCTTACCTGGTTGACGTCTGACATCTTTTCAATGTCATATGATTAAAATGCAAAATAATGTAAATTGAAAACAGTTGATAGTCTTTCAAGTGATAAACGATCCTTGTAACTTGTAAGCAAGTTCCTTGGGCGGACTTCTTCAAAACGTCCCAAGATTACTTTCAAGATGTAAGGGGTCAGATTTGTTAAACATATTCAATAAAAACACATTTCTTGAAACCCACACCATCTTTTGAGTTCATTCTTGGTTAAATCATAAACATCAGGACAATATCATTTCTAATGTACATTGACATCATGAACAAAGATTATGTTTGGTTCCTTTGCTTTCATAGTGATACATGCCGTCTGTTCCTTTTGTTGTGATCATGCTATTGACATTTACAAGGGTCAGATAAATGTTTCTGTGCAAATCGATATCGAAGTGATAATTGATTTCATTTGTAAATCTGACTGCATTTTACATTACATGTAGCTTGCCTGGGTGACTTCAGTTTGACGTAGTTCTCAGAAATTAACATAAAAGTTTAAGTAGAATTATCTTGCAATGTTCGGGTGATGTGTGCTCTTGGCGCCTTATTATGACATTAACACCTTATTCTGACATTAACCTCTACATTCGGAACACTTCACTCTGACATAAACCTCTCCTACAGAACACATAATTCTGCCATTAATCTCTACATGCGGAACACATAATTCTGACATAAACTTCTACATGTGGAACACCTCTTTCCGTCTGATGTAAATTGTCTTCAAGGCACACATTTTACTGCAGAACTAGACGTCCAATTAAGAACAGAATTCAGTTATGCAAGGTTTTTTAGATCCTGTAAATCAAATGTCAAATGGGTAGCATTTTTTTCTTAATGATTTCGAATTTGAATTAAAGAACGTGAAGAAAAGATTCAAGTGGAAGTTTTGTAGCTTTAGAGATAGAGCTTGATTTAATGAGTTTGACCTTAATAACAATACATGACCCAACTTAAATCGATCGTTCTTTCTATGATATTGTAGCAGATACTAATGAGGTATTTGGTAATAACAGACCCATCATCTATGGTGATTTTAACCTTGTCCTTAACCCAGGGTTAGGGTTAGAAAAAATTATACATTTTTAGGTCACCTCATACACAGTCTCATGGATGGTGACCTATTGCGATCACCTTCATCCGGAGACGTGGATCATGCGTCATGCGTCCGTAAGCAATTTAACAGTTTCGAATTCTCAAAATATCCAGATGCGATTGCAATGAAATTTTGCAAAAACCTTCCTTGGTTTAAGATGAACAATAATTGTGAATTATACAATCCCCATCCACAGTGGCCCGAGGGGCGGGGCTAAAAGTGGTCAAATTTTCTTCTCAACACCTAGATATGGTACAATCACATGCTCTTCATGGAACCTAAAGCATCTAAAGGTGCTTTACCTTATTATGAGATTCATAGACCCATGGTCTCGCATTTCCAAATGGGGAAAGGATAAAGATTACTAGATTTTTTATAGGAAAAATCGATGTTTTGTGCATAATTAGTTAAGTTTCCATTGTACATATTTCAAACTAGAAATGTAAGTGAAGGATAACGTCTTGATGGCATGCCGATATTGATCCTGACTGACATCAGGGACTGATGGGCATGTTCAAAAGGGGTCAAATTGACTTCAATTTTCAACACTCAGGGTCTCACATTTCCCCGTTGGAGACGGTAACGTTTACTCTATTTTAAATGTTTTGTTTTTAATTTTTGAGCATAATTTTTTTAATTACCATCAGATATATTTCAAATTTGGTAAGAAGTAAGAGTGAAGGATGACGGTGTGATGGTATGCTCATATTGATACTGGCTGTCCTCCAAAAGAACTGATGGATTCGGCCATAAGGGTCAAATTGACATAAATTTCAAAATTCTTCTCAACACACAGGTATGGTAGAATCAAATTCTCTGTATAAATGGGAGGTGTTTTAATTACCAATCTAGCATCTCTTCCTAGGGAGGAAGGTTTTCTTAAGCTTTAATGTAATTTTCATAGACAAATTGCATTTTTCAGCGTTAGTTATTTCTCATTGAAACTATCATTGTAAGAATGATTAAGTATAGGATGACAGTTTTGATAGTTTGGCCGTATTGACAGTGGTTTACTATATTCAGTGTTTATGTTTCATAACACTTAACTTAAAGATGACTACCCTTTAACTTTATTCAAAATTTCTTATCTCAGGTGACCGTTCAGGCCGCTAGGTCTCTTGTTTTGTTTTGGAAATGATGTTTAAGATGGTTTAATACATTACACAACAATGTTTCATCTACAATTAACCAGGGAACTTATCAGCTTTTTTCGAAATCTTGTCATCAGAGTGATACAGTTTGCCCCCATATCTTTATTATGTGTGCAGAAATGTTAGCTGTACGTTTGAGGAAAAATAGTATATTAAAGGAATGAAGACAGAATTTTGAAACTCTAATATCTAAATATGCAAACGATACATTACTTGCGCTAGATGGGTCAGAGAAGTCACTTCATTAACCTTTCATTGAATTAAACAGATTTGCAAATATATCCGGCTTAAAAATAGTTCTGACAAAACTAAAATAATCTGCATTGGTAGCAGAAAATACAGTAAAGATAAAATGCTTCCAGAGTTAAACCTGCAGCAGGGAAAAATAAATTCACTCAAACATTCCCAAACTTTGTTAGGAAAAAAATTTGTAAAATAAAAAAACAATAATCAGTGCCTTGACTGAAAGAAAATTAATGCCTCTTGGTTAGATTCTTATAAGTTAATCATTATTTGTATCCCAGTTCAATTATTTGTTTATATACCGTACTTTTTAATGTTAATGGAATAGTAAAACAGATGAAATTAAAAGAAATGTTAAAAAATAGTGATGGTGGATTGAAGATGGTTAATTTGAATGCATTTATTGACGCTTTTAAACTGGGTTGGGTTAGAAGACTACAGCAGCGAAGGGAAATGAAATTTGATTTTGGGCAACGAAATCAATATGGATATGGTGACGAATATTGCTGGTGAATATATATAAAAATGTAGTATTAAATGTACTTACAACTTTTGGAAAGATTTGTTGAAATATTTGTACGATTTGAATAATTCGAAAGAAATTAAGAAACATGAGGAAAGACCACTGTTAATCCGAAATATTTGACATAGTAAAACTATTACTATTGCAGGTAAGTCTTCTATCAATCATGATATAAATTCGGAATACACACTCTTACAGGTCTGATAAAAAATACAGATAACGTTTCCTTCTATACCTTTAAAAACTTTCAGAAAAAAATCAACTGCATACTAATTTTCTTCCAGCTCATGGATTAATATCTGTGATTCGCAAATAATTGCCACACCTTTTACCAAAAGATTTGAAACCAGTTATTCACCCAATCTTACCCCATATAAAATGTTCTATTTGCAACTTATGGATCCAATTTTTCCACAACGTTCTTAATCGAAATAATATCACAGCTACTGATAGAATAAAATTTCAAGAACAGTTCCTGTTTGATGAAAGAAAATAGAAGAAAATTTATGAAATTCCGTATAAAGTAAAAAAAAAAACCTAAATTATATTGGTTTCAGTTTCAAATACCACACCATATTCTTACCACAAATTCTAAACTATTCAAAGTAGGTATAGTTGCTAGTCCGCTGTATTCATTTTGCAATTCAGAGTGGAAAACTATAAATCACTTAAAAAAGGATTGCCAGGGAATACAAAATCTACTACAAAGTCTAGAAACACCCCAAGATGCTCTTTATATACCCTTCTCAATCAACAAGCAATTCTTCCTATTCTGGTTTATCAATGATAGTCTTAATTCTACTGTGGATAATATAATCATTCTTATTTTTAAACAATATCTCTATAGAAACAAATGTCTTTAAGTTTCAATGTTTAGTCAACAATAGAAAGATTACTGTTATTTACAGAAGTATATAACTAAAATGACTTTTTAAAAGAAAAGAAATAGGAATAACGCTTGTAAATGGAAAAATCTTATTAAGCTTTATATCTAAACATGTTCACCTAATTGTCCTTGACATTCCGCAAGTAAAGCAGCAAACAAAACAACCCCCACATCTCGCATCTCCAACCTTCTTCTCATCTTCCATTTCCTCTAGGTTAGCAATGTCGAGTCATTTTCTACTCGTATCTTCACTTTCATTTCTCTACATATTCGATTCTGTGATATTCTTTGATATGCAAATATGTAAATTAAGTATGTTTTTGCATAATTTAATATATCGAATGTATTTCATGTGTGTAAGTATGTACCTGAATACCGGCATGAAGAATGAAATGCATATCAATGGTTTACATAAACTCGGCAATATGCATTTTGATATTTCTTAGCCGTGTGGCATTGAATTGCACAAATCAGCAAGGCGTTATCAATAAGTAATAAAAGAAATTAGATAAATTTATATATATATATGTATATAATATATATATATATATCAGTTATATCGTGTTTTCTAGCATTGAGAAACACTTTCTCTGAATGGATATATCAATCATAACTCAACACACAAAAAGGATTATAATAATATTTGATATTATATTAAACAACAACAACACAAATAGAAATAACATAAAAAGTGACATACAACCCAATTTATACATTATATTTCACTAATCAAGCTCTTGTATAATTATACAACGACGGTGTAATAGCCATTGTTTTACATTTAGCACCTCTTGTATAATTATACAACGACGGTTTAATATGCCATTGTTTTACATTTAGCACCACTGTCAGATTCTCATACAATACAAATATTAACGTTGGATTTTGTAGTCGATATTTTATATAAAATAATCGATAAAGGTTAGATTTCAGAGCTGCTGTCAATAATGAAAAGGCATACATCATGAAAGTAGTAGGTGCTATGGATCTTGTCGAATAAAAATGCGACATCTTTTTGAGAATACGATCTAATGATGAAGACAGCGATCTCTAAATCGAAGTAACGATTTAAGATATAAGGACGCCAGTAAAACCAACCGTGACTGCATCAACACCAAGGTCGTTAGAACTGAGTTTGATGCGCACTGTTTCTCCACGTGATAAACTTACAACTATTGTCTGAGACCCAGTATTCGAGAAACTATTAGTCCCAGCTACCGATAGATCACTCCAGGGGACTCCATTAACATCAATGTGAGAATACACGTATTGTCCATGTCTCACTTGTACAGACCAGGTAAACAAGTAAACGCCAGGAACTTCGCAGGTGAATATTCCACTAAAAGGATCGAGGTCGTTTCCGATGTTAGCAAGCACAGGGGCGCTCACAATAATCTCATTAGTGTTATGAACCGTTGTCTTAGTAATGACATAAAAGGCGACCGTCTGGGCTGAGAAAGAAAATATTTTGCATTATACTAAGTATAAGTATCTACGTTTCGTACATTTTTATATGATTAAAACTTGAATATAATGAGACTCAAATTGAAAATGATTTTATACATTTTAAGACATCTCTAACATACAAAACTAACACAAAAGCGTTCGTATGTAACAAAATGATCAATAGGTTAACGCCTCTCCATCTAATTCATCAAAACACCAGGTCATCCTGTACAATATCGTTTACATGTTAGTGCGAAATGACACATAACAAGGTTTATAGATTAATAATCAGGGTCAAAATAATCTATCTACATCACTGACAGAAAAAATCAATTTGCCTATTCCTTAGGCAGCATACAATATCACATACGCCATCAAGTGATATACATAGTAATGTAAACTCAATGGAACAGAACATACTTTCATTTTAGTATCAAAGCTAAAGATAAAACATTTTTTTAAATATAAATTTAAAAATTAAAAGGACACTTTCTTCAATTTCAGTCACTGATAAAATAACAGCTTGAATTTTTACCGATGAATTCGGTACATGTAAATTTTCCTTCGGTATTAACTATAGAAAAATGGAAATGCCAGATTGAAAACAATATTTGGATAAGAATGTATATCTCCATCCCTACCGCTCATTATAAGTTATTATTGATAATAAAAAATAAAATTAATACATATCTTAGCTATATCTTCTCATGATAAAATAATTTAACCTATTCAAAACAAGAAATAAATAGAAATGGAAAACGAACGAAGGGAAATTGTTGAATGAATTTAAATAAAGATTCGTGTATATTTGTTGATAATTGGTGTTGATCTTGTTCTCTATCAAGCCGTAGAATTTAATATACATTGTATTAGTTAATTGTTTGACTCTACTGTATCTTACATTTGTGTATCTAAATTGTATTCAAATTTGCTATTCACTTGAATGTATTAAATCTCCATGTGCTTGCTTATTGTACAGTGCTGCTCCATCGATATGTCTTGATTATATATTATATTACATTTAATTTAATTACTTACTGTATTACTAGAATACCTGGATTTATATACAGTCACATGAATAATGTTGATAGTTTTAGGGCAAGCTAACATTTATTTATGCAGTGCCTCAGTTCTAACGATGACTTCAACTTATCACGAACGAGATAAGACATTCGCTTAACCTGGTAATTGTATTATCGAATGGGGTTAACACTAAGCATGTCACTTCACCAAGGGACTCAAACTTCACATTAAATTCATTTTCCTTCTGATTTAATTCAAAGATTATTTTCAAAATAAGATAAAATAAGATAAATGGATTGCAAATGTCTACACTTACGGGCTCTTCTCTCAAATGTACTTACATATATATGCATACATTTGGGAATTTTCTTTATAATTTTGACTTAACAGCTGATGTTCACATTCATGAGGATAGGCTTGCACAAGCTGGTTGTTAACTCACTGAACAAAATGTGAGAGGCTCAAATATTCCGTTATCTTTGGAATAATTTATCAGGTATCCTCGGACAAAACTCTCCGAGATTAGTTTTAATAAGAAGGAATACGGCATGGTCATCACAGAAGTGTATAACACAGAAAGCCACAACAAGCACGGGAGTAGAACTGACATGACTTATTTGACCCCCTTACTTGGAATACTGTTACCCGGCTCTCCTTTCTGGCCTGGCAGTCCAAGGTGACCAGTCTCTCCTTTAGATCCGGGTATACCATTCAAGCCACTGCTTCCTTCGATTAGAATAAATATATCTTTACCATGACATAAAATGTAAAAAAATGTCGTGATTACCTAAATGTCCCAGTAATAACCATTTGTAACCTTCATTTTATATTTGTAACTTTTTTGTTTTGAACTCAGACTTAAAGTTGAAAAGTAAACACGTGAATATAAAAAGACAATAGGATATGGCTAGATATTCTTGCAGGGAAAGCGACTACATCATTAATGACACCACGTAGATGATGTCACGTTCCTAAATAAGAACAAGGTAAACAACAATGGAACACCGTGCGACTTCGTATCGGACAGACTACAGCTAAAGTCTTAATTTATTCATCAAGCGAACTTCTGGACTATATTGTTGATATTCTATCTATGAATAATGATACGATAATGATAAAATATTGAAAAAGTTCTGGTCATAATGGGAATGTATTATTTGTTTGCTATTCATCAACATATACCTTTCATACCGTTGGGGCCTTGTGGTCCAGGCTTTCCTATTGTTCCAGGTTCTCCTTTTAACCCAACGGGACCTCGTGGTCCAGTCTTTCCTTTGGGCCCACTCACCCCAGAGTGCCCAGAATCTCCTTTCTGTCCCGTTGTTCCTGGTATCCCTATATGCCCTTTCTGTCCTATAGGCCCTGGTACTCCGGAATCCCCTTTCGGCCCCATTGCTCCTGTTGCCCCAATGCTTCCTTTGGGTCCGGACAACCCAGGTACGCCCTTTTCACCTTTGCAGACTGGGAGTAATTGATAGTAATTAAATAGTTTTATAAACAACGAAGATTCAAACGGATGGTGGAGAAAAGATATGTGTTTTTTGCATAGTATCTTTATAGCGGTGAAGTTCTGTACACTTTGAAGGATTTGAATTTTTTAAATTGACACTTCACCTATATGTTATAATTGTTGCATACAAACTGGTTTCATACTAATTACTTATGCTGTCAATCCGGAACCTTCCGACTACTTATATTGTGTATCCACAACAAAGGTTGATGCATGTCACGGTATGGGGGCCTTTTATGAATCATAAATTGCATGAGGTAGTTTACATATTGTGATACCGCAAAATATTGTTTTCACATATTACAAAGTATAAGGCATAACTACATGATCATTCTGCTGCTTCTCCTATGTGTTTCCTATTATCTTATTACCAAAAACCTTAAATTTGTTCAAATAGATTATTTGGTTATTAACCTACATAAATGTACACTGTACATATTCTAATTTAGATTTTTCATTGTTGAATTACATAATATACTTACCTTCTTTTGATCCATTTGAAAATTGAAATAAAGTTGTATTCGCTGAAAATGAAGAAACACTCTAAAATTAACTCTTTTTACAATTATTGCTCTTTAAAAAAAAAAAATTATCGACCGAGGCTTGCTTTCTTTTTTGTACGCTATATATTCTCACATTGAACCAAACCTAGTGTAGTAATTGTGTTATAACATTTCATTTGAATTTGTTTTAACGTCCACCTCATATTAACCAAGCATTACTGATATCCAGCAGATCTCCCCGAGCCATTTGATAATCATTATACGTAATTTATGACATACAAAAAATAATGTGCACTTTACTACATTTATTAATATATATTATCAATATATCAATAAATTTATACCAACAATCTCCACAAATTAGTAAATTAATACCAATGTATTAACATTAATTAATCCAACAATCACAAACGATGAGCGCTGAAGAAAGTCTTTCTTTATTGGTTAAAAGAAATGCTTGACGTAGATAGAAATTCCCTTTTATTAAAAATGGAACTAAGCTGTGTAATACAGTGCAATATCAATAAAAATCGTAGAACACGTGACTATGTCTGGACAAATGAAAATGCAGAATAAATACAAAAATATAATAAATATCGATATTGAACTATATATTCAACACTTGGTAGGAAGATGAAATGTTTAAGCTCATGATAATTAATTTGTAAACATAAATAAATCAATTCTTTTGTTGGTTTTTGGGAATATCCTCCATCAGTTGTATGGGTAATTTTCAGGCGGCATATGCTTGAAGTAGTTTGTGGATTCTTCACTAACAAAGTAATTGAGGCATTTGTATACCATTCAAATCAATATGAAAAAATGAGGAAAAATCTTCAATGCCACAGGATCCGTATAAAAGTAAACATCCTCATGTAACAAAAGTGGCAGAATGCGTACTCGAAAATAGTGATTCCCAACGACTGGCGTTTGTCTAATGTGTCAATCTGACCCATTTTAGGAAAGACACGGTCTTCAGCGAGTGCCTTTTCTAAAATCGAAAACTTAAATACCAAGATAAGCATGATAAGCAAATGTCATCTCAATGGAAACTTGTATATCCCATAACTTCTACCTATAAATGTATTGAACTGAATTTCTCAAAGAGTAGCCACTACCTTCTGTGATTACTACGCGATAAGTAAGATTTGGTTATTTGAGACAAGGCAGACACGTTTTAGCAGATTTTGTCATTTAAGACAAGGCAGACGCGATTTGGCATATCTTGTGGGATCCTAGTTGGAGTGTTGAGGTACCAGTAGTTCACGGTCAAAGGTCAGAGCTTACACAATTAGAATTGCTTGATTAATTGGATTAAATTAAATGGCAGTATGTAAAGAAAAAACAACACTATTTAGAAACACATCAGAGACGAATATTTTTGAAGATTTTCTACAGGTAAGTCATCTCAATAGAATAGAAGTTCTTATAAAACATGTAAAAGATTAGAGTGTGACGTTTCAATGACTACACGGTCACATTCATCAGACAAAGGACAAGTGTTGATCGTACTAGCACTGAGGTAGGTAGTGTACGAGATGGTACGGAATTGACCAATTTTTTCGGCTGCACTATAATAGGCCAAAATACACCAGATGGTAACAATTTAGTGTCGTCAATTCAGCAACGCTTTGTTTAAGACTTCGTCACAGATGTGCGAGAGTCTGTGGCCCCCTTCGTCCCTATAAAGTACTGCTCCGTTGCGGCGTATCCAGTTGGAATTTTCCCAGTCAATGATATGATTTTGCTGTGATAAATGATCTATAAGTGCAAATTTGTTTATCTCGGACTGTTAATTTTTTCTTTTGATCTAGTGAATGTTTTGCCTTCTTGGGATTCCGCTTCTTTTTGGTGTCGATTGAGTCGGACCCCGAATCTCCTGCCTGCTTCTCCGATATATGATGGGCCGCATTTCTTGCATCCGATTTTGTATACACATTCTGCGACGTTTTCTTCGGGTGTTTTATCCTTCGGGTTGACTAGCAACTGTCAATAAATAGGAAGTGAACAGCTCTTATTGCCTGTTTAGGTGTTATGGCCGCAGTTTGTCTCTAACACATTATGTCCATAACACCGTTAACGCCATACATTGCGGTCATAACAAGTAAATACAATAAAAACACTGTTCTATACATATACACATCATTCTACTTAATTAAAGTCATTTTTGTTAGCTTAAATTTGTGTCAGTTGCTGAGTGGAATGATTGCGATACACCTAGTTGTTAATGCAATGCAAAAATGTAACCCAATGACTCCTGTCTCATTAGAATTACTACCAATAATAATAATAGTATATGATTGAATTAGTGTGTGTAATTGACATATTGAAATGAAAGCTCCGTCGAGGATATAAATGAATGAATGAGTCCATGTTTGAAACGTCCGATATTTTTGGTTTTTGTCACACGGAGATTTAGTGGGAAAGAGCCTTAGAAATCACATGACGTGACATCTGTATTCTACAGTGTTTTATTTAAAAGAATCATTGTGAACCGACAGCATCAAATAATTATGCATTGTTTTTGTAGTTTCTTGTTATATAGGTCATTTTTTGTAACATACCGAGATTTGGTAAAAAAAAATATAGGATAACCATATTGTTGAGGATGATGAGACTGTTTGTTACCTAAGCGTTAATCGATAACTTGTCACCATGTTGCTGTTTATGTAAATAGACCATTATCTTAATCATGACGGTAACCAAACGTCTCTGCTGTTATTTGTATTTGCTTCAAAGAAATATTCCAACACCAGATCATATACTTCCACTGAACCACTTGACGAATGGGATTCAACGGAAAATAACTTTCAGCACTTTGATCCGGTTGTTTTAAACTTACATGTAGATTTTTTCCAGTGATTGAATGGCGAAATAGCCACATCTGTAAATAAGTACATAAAGAGATAAATTAATAAATAATCAATCATTTCAATGTCTTCTAACGACAAAGCCGCTTAATATTCTACAGTCCACGTACACACTCTTTAAGAAATACTGTCAGAATAGTTCTACAAAATCACCAGACAGAACCAAAGAAGACAAAATAACAAAACCGAACAAAAATAATACCAAACGGTTCATTGCATTACATTCAAAATATAATTAAAAAAATAAATAAAAGTAAAGAGAATAATAATAATATCGATCAATATATTTGCCTGCTTTTTCTTATCTTAGAATATTTGATAAATTCACACATGTCAATTACAATATCCATCCAGGAATCTGTTAGGTTTAAGATCTTACAGTCTAAGTGTTTGAAAAATATAAGTATATTAATACGATATAAAGTTATTTCCTTGTACGTCTATTCCATGTATGTAGTTTGATATATATGTGGTAATTGAGGAGTGGGGTGGCAATTTCACCTTATCGTCATTAATAATAACAACAATGAAAATACAGACATGTGAGTAGATTTTTAGTTCAATTTCTGATTTCATCAAAACTACGACAAGCTATTTATAAAAGAATGAAACAAAATATGTCAAGGTTTTCCGAAAGTGTAACCGTGCTCTATTTTACAGTCATGTGAATCTTAACATTTAAGTAAGTAATGTCTCGTCCCAAAATGAGAACAAGGTAAACAGCGTTGGACCACCAGACAATCTAACAAATATAAAAAACAGTCTTACATCACAAAACAAAAACAAAAAAACGATGTCATTGATGTTGAACGTTATGACTTCCTAGAAACACACAGCGACTCGAACATGTTCGTAGCGTTACAGAGAAGCTAGATACGCTTCCACACTACCAGAAATATCTACTCTGTACGAGAAAAGTTACAATGTGATATCTAAGAGCCTTGCTTATGGTTAATCTAACGTGCATTGATGATCTTGTCGAATATCCACATTGCACGTTATAAAAATACATTTTTTCAGTCCAAATATTATTGTTTACTCAAATATTTTCATAAGAAACATATAATACATTTGATAAACTAACCTGTTTGTTTGTTTGTTAAGCTCCATTTTGGTCAAAGTTTCCTTCTTTTGGATATATGGCAGGTTCTTCCAGAATTGATTGTTGCCTGTTCAGTGTCTGTTTTTGATTCCTTGGATACACCAATTATGATAAGATTTTAAAATACAACAGCGTTATGGTTATTCAAATACATCAGGAATGTTGTTTTGTCTTTTGTTTACATGTTTTAAAAATGGACATTGGTTAAGTGTTTATTATTCATGCAATGTCTCAATACTGTATATCAATACATTCTGTGTCACGTAATAGGATAATATACAGTTCATGTAAAATAATTAAGCAATCGTATGTTTTTGGTTTGGTTGGCACATAGATTAATGGATAGATTCGAGGGAAGATTGTATTGACCTCAGCAAAAAAATATGAACCTTTCAAGGATGTGTAAATCCTCAACCAAAGACAATAAAAACATATTTTAAAACCCCACAATTATAACCATAAGAATATAATAATATGAATAGCATTGGTTGTTTGGGTATTCAAGTAATTTTAGACTGTGTATTACATATTTACCTTACAATTCTCAGTTCCAATCGTACTTCTTCATACTGCTTTCGGGTATTTTCATTCAACATTTATGTTGAGGACTAATTTCTTCTAAATGGTACTTCGTTTTGGAGTTTTGAATATCGCAGATCTTGACCATTTATGGTTTTCAATTGAGACGAGACCAATATTAACGTAACATGGTATATGTATTTATATACCATATTTAAAGGTAATCATTCGTTATAATCTACAACGTGGACTTGTCAGTGAAACTATGGGCCGGTTTCGCTACATTTACTTAATTATCAGAAACCTTACCAACCAATCTTACCTCAACCAATTCTGCTGTTATTGTTTGTATGACTTTGTGACCATTGTACATTTGTGATTAAAGCTGCAACGGCGATAGTTTCTCCTGACCTGAATAAGGGAGTCTATTCTTACGTCAATTCTTAACCGTATCAGATTACTTTCTTTACCCTTAGATCACCGCAGCAGGAAGAGCAACCCTTTAGGTAGGATTCTTACTATCCCCTCACCCTTGCCCCCACCGCCACCCGAACCCCCTACCCCATAAAAGTAAAGGCATAGAAAGAAATATGATAAATGAAATCAAATAAAGAGTTGTATCTTTTATGTTTATTTTTCGTGTCACAACCCCAAGTTTGTTAAAATAAAATCAATCTAGCTTGCACATTATATCGATTTCGTAAATACACAACTTTCTTGATATTTATACATTCCACACACAATTAGAAAATATAAACCATTGTGATCTAAGTGTGAAAGATTGACATTTGTGTGGATATCACTTCTCCATACAAGTATGAAATAAGAAAACCAAATTGTAAATCAATAACATATCAACATTGATGTTATTTATTGTGCGATTGCTTTTTTCCATGAATCGTCAAAGAAGACAGCAGCATAACATGTGTTAATGCAGGAAGAGAGTGAGAAAAATTAGAAAATTTGAAATCCACCTAGGTTTAGAGAAACATTGTGTATCGTTATTTAATATGACAAAGACTTGTATGTTCTAACATATCCAAAATAAAGTCTTATTCAGAAAATAGAAATGCTTACGTACAGTTTGACCTTGTCATACATTTTAAAAGTAGCTTTGGTTTCGCTGGGTAACCTTATGTGCTGTTAAAATATCACTCCATCAAACTTTTCAATTTTTTAATCTCAATTTCAATGCCAAAAAAATTTGATTAAGATTACCTATTCTTGTCAAATCGTTTACCAGAAATTAATCTCAAGATTAACGCGAAAATTAGGAATAAAGAAGAACGCCTTCAAAGTAGCATATTGCCCGGACACGTTGGTGAACTCCACTTTTCTTCGCGGTCACAGTTTCTCTAGGAGCCAAATGAACCATACCTGCGGCGACAGAACCCGTGTTATTTGTACTCGTTCTAGACACCGTTAATTTACGCCATACCTGATCGTTACGAAAAATGTTAAATGCGATTGCAGGTCCTTCAAGGAGAGTAATACTCATTGTAAACAGATAAACTCCAGGAACTTGACAGGTAAATTTTCCATTAAATGGATCGAAGTTATTGCCATCATTCCAGTATAGTGAATTAAATGTCAAATGAGAGCTGTGCCTCTTGCCCCTTGGAGTCAGTTTGCTTTCCGCAGCAAATGAGACCTTGTTTTCTGAAAACAAAATCCATACTATAGAGTATAACCATTAAAACTAGGATAATATTGAGCAAACATCCATCCCTCCTCCTATGCACAGTTTATGTCATTTTTACCTCATTTTTTGATGTTTCACATCTATTATTTGCCGATCTATATATTTGCGGTCTGTGATATTATGATAATTACCTTACTGATTTAACGTAGTCAGAATGCTTAGGATAACCTTATAACAATAAAGCGATACTCCCACCTAATGTACAGACATTTATTAACAATCTCTAACCGATCTGTGGTTTCATACACTTACTGTAGTTGTACCGCAATGTCATCTGGAAAATATTAATATCGTCACTGCAAACACTCTGCACTGCTTATTGCAAAATGAGCGAAAGATTCAAAAGTTGTTTATTGGCTCGATGGAACGCACTAAATATGTTAGATGTTGGAATTTTTGTCTTCCCCAGCAATCGGAAATAATTGGGCCTATGAAAAATAGGTGTTCTTTGGAAGTAACATCAATCGTCTTAAATTGAAAGGCATAAGAAAAAAATAACAATGTAAGGAATTAATATTCCTGGATTACATATCTGTTTTTGAATATGTCCAGTCGAGAGAATAGTGTTAAATTCTGTCAAAGGCCCATACCTATAATTAAGTTTTCCGTGCTAAGTTCATAATTTTTCATCTAATATTGTCAGTATAGGGAAATGCACGTACAAACACAAAGATAAAAAAAGTAAGCTGAATGTTTAGTTATAACGAAAATGTGTTTAACTTAACTTGTTTTGTGTAATGTGTTGCACAGTGATACGTGTATTTTCATTCACTAAATAGTTCACATTGAAAAGAATATACGGACAATATCCTTAACTATACAAAATGATAATCCGTTGACAGAGTCTGTTGCATATTAAGCAGTAGCTTCTCGTGACGTAGATGGCAAAACTCTGCGCAACACCATTCTACTTCCTGCTCCATTTACATGTATATGTTTAGAATTCACTCGAAATATTCAAAACACTATGATAACATGTTGACGGCCTTAACTCGTCAGTGCATACAAGCGAGGTATGGGTTAGTAGACAAGAATAGTGGTTTGTTGAGTGCAAATGGTAGGCATCTCATTAACAATAGCGTAATAAAGTGAATTGTTATAAATCTTCAAAATTAAAATACTCTAAGATGTTAGACTTTGTAACAAGAAACCTGAAGCATTTAAAGCTGTCCGTGATATTATTCCATTATAATTGGCGATGTGTCACAATGTTAGTTTCTTGTTTGGAGTTGGCAAACTCGAAATATCGGCAGTCTAAATGTAAAGCATTCCGACGACCACAACTTACTTACAAGAAATAAAGCTTAATATCATTATCTCCAGCTAGAATTATAAATCCCCAACAAATTTTGTTACGAAATGGCCTTCACCCATATTCATCGTCAGAAGTGTCATATTTGATAAAGAAAACCCCCTAAAAAGTAGGTAAAGACATGTTCTCAACTGACAATAAAAGTATCCACAATGGTAACAGCATTCAAACTAAGAAGCATCAGACACACCCATCTTCATATCTTCATAAAATAAAAGACTTCTCAACAATAAGATTGACCTGACGATCGTAAAACTGCCCGTCTTTTAAATCATCACGTACCTGATAAAACCACATGTTATGTGTTTGTCAATCAGTTGATGACTTCTTGCACGAAAATCGTTAAAATTGGCCCTTGAATATCAAATCAACTACGACATGTGAATACCTTATGTTGGGGATGCAGGTATTTTGCTATCCAGAAACAAGAATTCAGAATAGGGAAATTGAAATAATCAAGTTTACCATACAGCTTGGTGGAAAGCTCACAATGTTGGTTTCGTTGTAGCAAAATATCGAGATAACATTCTGGTGTAGTAAAATATGTCATGTCTTTTGTTTTCCCATTCTTTAGGTATATAGATTTGACGTAACCGTCTTGTTATCTAAAGGCAGCACATATGATTTTACATTGGTTTAGTTAGATTTGAATACTATATAATTTAAAGATCGATGATGTGAAATCTAAAAATATTTCTAAAATGGATCTAAAGAGAGATGGAAAAGGAATGACCATAGTTCATTATTCTTTCAACTGAATAGCTATAGGGTTCAGAGGAAACCAATGACAATATTGAAAACAAAATGTTTTGGTGATCCCTGTCTACAATTTTTCACAATTATTTTGAATAGTGAAGATTTAAGGATTTAGACCTTCAGAACTAATGAAAAGTCCTTTAAGACGAAACCTCTACATGATGCAGCTCAAGTGATTTCTTTCAAATCTCCGGAGAAAGCTCATCAGGCGTTATTAGGACAGGACAAAGTGGGTTAATGCAAACATGATGCAAAGATTGAATACATTCTTCCCTCTATATTTTAAGATAGGATATTGAGATAAAAATTGAAGATGAGGATGAAGATGAGAAAATGTCACGATGATACCATCTATTTAGACATAACTTCCAAGATATCAATACCCTGGAGTCAGTCACGACTAGACACGAGGAAGTCAGTGGAAGAGACCTTACGATAACCCTTATTGTATTTGTAACTCTTCTGATTATGGATATTACTGATTAACTTATGTTTAAAGTTTTGTCGATTATCTTTCAAATAATACTTTCTGATAATACTTCAACGAACATCTAATATACATAAATATATTAACTTTATTTATTTAACAACATTATCTATGTTATGTTGTACCGGATATAAGCGCACGAGAGGTCTAATTGTGGAGGGAACCTGAGTACCCGGGAAAACCAACGTGGTTTGGCAGATGACCTCTTACTTTTTCATGTTCGTTTCGAGAATCAAACTTCGGATGGCTAGGTGAAAGGCGAGTGCGTTACCTCTGCACCACCCGACCACCCATTAAATACACTCACGTCCGATTATTTCACGTATGGAAATTCTACGATCACATGAATGTGTCAGGTAACAGTGTAATAATCATCCCGCAAAAATGACCGATTCACGCCAGATATACTTATCTTAAACGTATTTGTCAAAGCATATAAATGATATATCTAATTAGAGAAATGAGATAGAAAATACGGACAAAAAGATGAAACCAATAGCATATTTACCTCGATTGGGTGATATCCCAGGATCCCCAATGGCCCCCTTTTCTCCCTTTGTCCCAGGATGTCCTGTCGATCCCTTTCTGCCAGGTGTTCCTCTATGGCCTTTTTGTCCAGCTTCCCCGATGTCTCCTTTCGGTCCAATAGGTCCATTAATACCAGGGACACCTCTTGTTCCTGTATCCCCTTTTTGTCCTGTTGTTCCAGGTTTTCCTGCATCCCCTTTATCTCCCTTCGCTCCAATGCTACCTTTTTGTCCCTCTAATCCTGGCAATCCCATGTCACCTTTTGGTCCTGTAATTCCAACTTTTCCTTTGTCGCCTTTTGGTCCGTTGTCACCTTTTAGACCCGGAAAACCCGATGTCCCACTGTCTCCTTTAGGACCTACAGAACCTGGTTCTCCTTTCTCTCCCTTTGAAGTAGTCGCTGCTTCGAAATATATTCCAATAATTGTGATTTTAAATAAAAAGGTTACTCGATTACGCTTCAAAGATATATAATCAGCATTTAAAATTAATCTTAAAAACATATAAAAACAGATACCTACGGAAATGCAATCAAACAAACGCAAAATGAAATTAATTTCCTACCTTTAGATGCGTTCCAAACACTGGGCAAATGGAATGTGGGAGAATAAACTGGAAATTAAATTTAGAAAATAATGAAATATTAATAATCTTGAATACAGTACTCTTTTAGTTTAGTGTTAAGTGACATTTCAGCCTTTCCTATCTAGGGCCCAAACTTCTGACATAATTAGTTGATGGAGTCTTAGTTATTTGTTGAAGTATAATGAGCATCGAAAATCTGTGACTTATTGCTAACATATTTAATTTGGCGCAATGAAATTTACCTTTTGACAGCTTTCTGGCTAATAAGCGCAAGGATTGATTCGAAAATCTATAACATTTGTTATATAAACAACGTAAGGAAAAAAAATAGAAGCGCAAACATATTTTAGCGCAATACTAATGAGATACGATAAGAATTGTGCTAAAATATGTATGTTTACATTACATTAGAAGAATGAACTTACCTGCGGACCTCTTATTCAGAAGAGTGTTCTTCCTGTGAACCTTTTGCGGATAGCTGTCTGCTTGGTCTACCTTCCGTGACGTATCAGCGATAATTTGTTTACTTCTTTTAAAGTAGAAATCATATTGAAGTAGTTTATTTCATATTGCCTCATAGCCTTTTTGTATAGAGATTTCGAAATATGCATATATAGAGGTTCCTGTAATATTGTACAAATGACGCACAAGCAAATAGCGCAATTCATAGTTAGATGCTGATTATGCTAGGACTCCTCAGTGATATCAAGGGCCTAAATTTTGACGCTTAGGGGGCAACCGAACAAAAACCAAAGTGAACTAAAGAACTAAAGAAAATTCAAAATATAGAGAGAGAGGAACACGAGCGCCATAATGAGATCAATTTCATAATTTTCATATATCAGACCACTTTTAGAACCATGGCAAACACATGTGTATATTCCGAACGGTGCCACTCTCTGAATAAGTTTAATGGTGGCATGCAGGTTATGGCATGCAATTAGCATCGTCTGTTTTCTTTTGACAGGATACATATATTACTATATCCTGTGTAATACAGGTAATTCTGTCATTAAGCTCTCTGGTTTGCAATTTGTTCTGTTTCTTGATTGCCTTGTTCTTTTACAAATTGGTGCTGAAACAACTTTGTTTTTGGTTTACCGTGCCCATATCTTACTTGACTTGTCTAGAATTTGCTCGGTTTGAGTTGTTATGGTTTGTAGAGTCACATTTACTTTTAAAGTCTTTTTGCACAAAAGTTTCTCCGAACCGAATATTATTCCGATTTACCATAAATGTAAGATAGATATATGAAGGTCACAAAGTATAGCATTATCAAGATTGGGGTTATCTATGTATAACAATAAGTAACAGACTTTTCTGTAAATAACAATAAGTAACAGACGTATCTATGTATAACAATAAGTAACAGACGTATCTATGTATAACAATAAGTAACAGACGTATCTGTGTATAACAATAAGTAACAGACGTATCTATGTATAACAATAAGTAACAGACGTATCTATGTATAACAATAAGTAACAGACGTATCTGTGTATAACAATAAGTAACAGACGTATCTGTGCATAACAATAAGTAACAGACGTATCTATGTGTAACAATAAGTAACAGACGTATCTATGTATAACAATAAGTAACACTCGTATCTGTGTATAACAATAAGTAACAGACGTATCTGTGTATAACAATAAGTAACAGACGTATCTATGTATAACAATAAGTAACAGACGTATCTGTGTATAACAATAAGTAACAGACGTATCTGTGTATAACAATAAGTAACAGACTTTTCTGTAAATAACTAAGTAACAGACGTATCTATGTATAACAATAAGTAACAGACGTATCTATGTATAACAATAAGTAACAGACGTATCTGTGTATAAAAATAAGTAACAGACGTATCTATGTATAACAATAAGTAACAGACGTATCTGTGTATAACAATAAGTAACAGACGTATCTGTGTATAACAATAAGTAACAGACGTATCTATGTATAACAATAAGTAACAGACGTATCTGTGTATAACAATAAGTAACAGACGTATCTATGTATAACAATAAGTAACAGACGTATCTGTGTATAACAATAAGTAACAGACGTATCTGTGTATAACAATAAGTAACAGACTTTTCTGTAAATAACAATAAGTAACAGACGTATCTATGTATAACAATAAGTAACAGACGTATCTATGTATAACAATAAGTAACAGACGTATCTGTGTATAAAAATAAGTAACAGACGTATCTATGTATAACAATAAGTAACAGACGTATCTGTGTATAACAATAAGTAACAGACGTATCTATGTATAACAATAAGTAACAGACGTATCTGTGTATAACAATAAGTAACAGACGTATCTATGTATAACAATAAGTAACAGACGTTTCTGTAAATGACATTTACGTATTACAGGTTAGCTGTCTGAAATATCTAAATAATCGGGCACAACATTAGAGGTTAGTTATATAGTTGTTTCAGATCATTGATTAATGCTATATTCAAATAGACACCGCCTTTATTAACGGTATTCTTATTTCAGTACAGAAACGAGGCAGTAAATAAAGTAAGAACGTTTGTCTCCTTCCTCTGTATGCCTTTTATATAATATTTGTCTTAGGGTTAACAATTTTTGCAACCGAAATTTTTCATACATACGATGAATTTGACAATGCGAAATTTTCGAAGTGATCACAGGCTACATTTTGATCTGAATGGAACTCACCCAAAGGTATTTAAGCTATTAAAAAATAAAGTCAATCATAAAAATAAACCCCTTTCTCGCCCATACTTTTATGATCTAATATCTACCTTAAATTCGATAGTTCCTCACTCAGGTCGTCATACTTTTGTCGAATATTCTCCACGTCGATATTCATTCTCTGCACGTAATTCTTCAAAGCCGACAGTTCAGTTTGAAGGGTTTCATACTTCAGATCTTGTTGATTATTGATGGCAAATGTCACAGCCAAAACCATTATAAAAACTGCACCATACACCATCTTGGTCTTTTTTTTTTATCAAACATTGACCAAAACGATAAGCTTTCATGGATGTCAATGTAAAGGTTTATTTTATTTATAAGTTAGAGCATAAGAACCGTGTGAGATAATAAGGTGAACTTATGTAATTTGCTAGCCAAGGTTATTAGAATACCTGATTTTATGCATATATTGTTTTAATCTTCCTTCAAGCCCCTATGTTTATTTCGATGACAAGTCCTATACACCTATAACATCCATAAGAATGTGTTATTAAGCTGACCATATTTCTATGTATTTGACCGAAGTCACTTTATCAGTTGAACCGGAAGGGCGGTTTGATAAGATGTTTAGTAGTTTCTACTGATCAAGGTCACAAACATGAACGACCATATCGTTAACCTTATCATAAAAAATTACAAAAAAAAGAAGAAATTCTTCGTGTTAATATTGTCACATAAATATCTAACACGCCTGTTAGCCAGTTTGCAATATTGATACATTGTAACATATGAATAAAAACTATACCATCTGTGTACTTCAGTAATACCTTAGTTTATAATGAGATGAGTTAAAAATGTGTCGATTTAAACAAATACTGTGCATTGATGAACTTGGCAATTACAAGTATTAATATAGGGTGTTAATTAACATATATTGTAATAATCAATCGTTTGAGTTACATTTCCTCTGCTATTTTTTGTGAATTTGCACAAACCTAGCATTATCATAATGAAGTTTATACACATGTATGAAGCTAAATGTTTGTTATTTATGTAATACCGTGTTTCAAAAGATGCAGTATTATTACAATTATGGGTAGTTTTGTGGTCCTCATAGTGATATCATGGAATATTTCTCAATGACATCATTGTACGACCGTAAAATTTCTCAATAATTTTCGACCTACATAATCACCTGCATCTTATGAAAACCTGTTTTACGTCTGTTGACTACATCTTGTATTAAATCTTTGATAATGGGAGCAGGTCCTTGAATATTGCATCAACTGCAACAAGTAAATACCATGGGTTGGATATACAGGAGAGTTGCTATCAAGAAATGGGCAGTTCCCAATAGGGGAAATAAAATCATAATGTTTATCATAAAGCTTTGTGAAAAGCTGTTGATGGTGGTTGCGTTGTAGTAAAATATTGAGATGAGCGATTGACGTAGCAGAGTCTGTCGTTTCCTTGATGTCTAATTATTCTGGTGGATATCTACAATACATTTCTTGTTATTTAAAAAAGACGTCATCATTATATTTTAAAGTGAAATTAAACGAATTAGCAAGTTCATCGTGACCTTTTTCGATAAGCTTTTTAATGAATTCAGCAACGTATGAAAACAAAAAAATAACTCGGCCACCAGAGGGGAACAGTTAGTTCTGTTGGAAGACTTTTCCATTAGAATCGAAATTAAATGTGATTTGTTATGGTGCAGTCTCATTCCACCAAGGTTTGTGCTTTCTGTTCTTAGATTTCCCTAGGTTTTTCGAAATTCAATGTTAACACATGTTGGTGTGAAGCTTTCTGTATATTTGTTTATATATGTGATTGGTATGTCATTTATGGAGATATTGTAAGAGCCGTTTGAAATCGTTCAATCTAACGTTAGAAAATATCGGTTTATAGGGAATTCCATTTTGTTCTTTATAAGATGGAATACTAATTTCGAAATAATGGGGTTATGATTTGACCATGATATCTTTTCATTGGATTCCTATAATATCATGGCTGTTGCTGGAATGGGAGTAGCTGATGTCAGATCTAAAAATCAATTTAGTGTTTTTAGCGTATTTGCTGCATGAAAACCTTGGATATGATATAATGGTATATATTTGTCCTTCAGTTTCACCTTCAGATATATGAATGACATCCTTTGTTTAAATAACAAGAAATTTATTGACCATGTCCATGGTACATATCCACCAAAATTGGAAATCAAAGACAGGACATACTCAGTCGCTAGCCTTGATATTTTATTACACAGTAACGGACATGGACAGCATTCAACCAAGCTGTACGATTTATTTCCGTATTGCGCATTTGCCATGTTTAAATAGCAACTTCTCTACATCCCTAGCCTACGCTTACATGTCGTAGTTAATTCGATTTCAAGGATTTGTTCCCCCCCCCCCCAAAAAAAAAAAAAAAAACGAAATAAGATAAGCGTGAAATGTTTCAATTAAGATGGTTCCGAAATGTCCGTCTATGGCATTGTCTTAGACTCGTTTCATAGATCTTGTATGATTAAAGTTACCACCAGATACTCAGCCTTGCTTTCATAATGGAAAGTTCGTTACAGAAATAATCGTTCGATTTTACAACTCTTCAAATTTGTAATAACCACGCAGACATAACAATGAATACTACATTGTGCCGTATTTTATGACCAGCGCAAGACCATTATCATTTGAGAACGCGACATTGCCGACTATGGTTAACCAAGATTTACATCGGCGTGTGCTGTCCAAAACAGCTGGTCATTTTTCCTTCACTACTCCATACTCACACATGATTGAGTGTGACAAGTAGTGATCTTAAGCTGTATTGTGTTACGGATAAATTCCAATTCTGTTACGCAATAGGAGCGGTATTAAATATCCTATACACATCTGTTAATTTCTTTTTATCATATACCTTCCAAATGGCTGCTGTAATACTATTTTATTAATTTGTTTTTTTATTTTTCATTCTAAAACTATGTTTAAGTCAGTTCTTATCTGTATCTTATCTGAATGTTTTGTTTTACCATATGGTCACCACAACAAGAAGTTCAACCCTTTCCATTTCTAAACCAAATCTAAAACTCTCTATGATGACTTGCGTAATGGTTTCATAAATTGCATATATTTTTATTGCAAATAACTAAATGTATATAATTTTAGATGAACGTCAAGACCACTTTTATATCCTCGAAAGTGTAACTATTCATACGATATGATAAATAGCATACAAGGTTTGATCAACTTTGTTTATTGTATTTTAATTTTGACAAAGACAGTCACTGTGTAAAAAATTTGAGTTTCTATACTTATCACAAAAACATAATAGAAGAACAAAATGCTGAGTCAAAAATAAGAATAATTATTGAGCAAAATATGTACAGAAGAAAGATTTACAATGAAACCCGTGAAAAAGCAATAAAAGGGTAATAAGATCAGCTGTACCGGAAGGGAAATCGTCTTCTGCTTCATCGATGACACTCAACTTAGTCATAATTTCCCCCAGTAAACCTTATATCGTAATAAAATTTCATTCTGTCAATTTTTAATAAATCAAGTTCAATTTTAACGCAGTTCATTTTGATAAAAATTATTTATCTTTGTCAAATAGTTCAAAATTAATCAATTATTGATAAAGTAGAACGCCTTCAAAATAGCAGATTGGCGCGATATTATGGTGATTTCCTTGTACCCTAACAGAGACCGTATCTCTCTGAGCCAATCGAGCGATCCCTGTGACAGAGCCAGTGTTATTTGTACTCGTTATACTATGCCAAACTTGATCGTTACGAAAGAGCATAAACACGGTCTTCTCTGTTACAGTTGGAGCTATACTCATTGTAAACAGGTAAACTCCAGGCTCACGACAAGAAAATTTTCCATTCGATCGATCGAAGCTATTTCCATCGTTCCAGTAGAGTGAATGAAATGCCAAACGTGAGCTGTGCCTCTTGGCCCCCATTTTCACTTTACTCTCCGCAGCAAACGAGATCTTCGTTCCTGAAAACAACCAACTACATGGTAAAGCCGTTGTCTCTTGATAAATGGCAGATATATATTATCAAATAGGGTTAAAAGTAAGATGGAATCTATCAAAGCGTTTCTCCACCCACTTAATTTATGTCCCCAATCTTTTTCTTATTTCAGTTTTAATTTGTCTATTTGCATGCTCTTATATTATCATCATTATATTAACGATTTTACATAAAGTCATCTTTTTCATGACAATTTTTAAAAAGTTAAGCAGTATTTCCCCCTTTTTTCATGATCTCTGCTAGATCTGTTGTTCCATACACTTATTGTGTAGGTATCACAAAGACATCTGGGAATATTGATATCGGCAAATGCTGTGACCTTGTTTGAACAAAATGAGTTAAAATTGCAAATGGTGCTTATTCTTTCCGTGGAAATCTAGGTTACTGCAAAAACAACGCAGTTTTGATAGGTTTATCCACCTTAGCGATTGGAAATACTTTACCTTTTATATGAAATTGTTATTTGAAGCTAACTTATATACAAATAAACGTTCGGGAGTTACATATTTCTTTATGTTAACATGTCTAGCTGAGAAAATGGTGTTAAGGTCTGAAAAATGGCCTTACTTATAACTCATGATTATACCAAAAGAAAAAGATAAGAAGACAAAAATCTAAATTAATTATGATAAACTTTATACATTTGTGTGTGTGTGTGTGTGTGTGTGTGTATTTAGCTATTGTGGACGTCGATAATGACACAGAGGGATATACACGTACAAACACAACAATAATAGTAAGCTGGATGTTCAGCAGCTTTTAGAATGCGTTTAACGTTAATTCATTTGAGTAATGAATTGCACAGCAATAATTACGTCTGATACACCAATACATCGGATGGGCCACTTTTAAGTACAAAAAAGCAGGAAAGGTAGAAAGAAGGGACCTAACAGTAACATACAATACACTCAGCAAAGATGACTATGTATAATAATGGTTAGCATCGAAAACAAAAAACGAATAATATTTAAATGAAGTTAAATCTCACGATCTGTGTGTAAACGGACATTTGATACACTCATGGGTCATTATTTTATGGAATAAGTTTCCGCGATCACGTTAGTTTACCGCGAAATAGTGCAAATATCATCCCCACGAGAATAACCGACTATGGTATGGTTGTAAAGTTGTGTGGTGTAAGTTTCTGTCTTAATTGCTCTGTGGTCTCACGATAACTGAGGGTATAACATGGGTATAGACGAGATTCGAGGCCTTCAGGGTGTTAACTTCCCGGAATCCTCGGACCTATACGTAAACTATAATGCCGTTTCACAACATTCCTCTCCGTTTGCTAAGAGAACAATGTATCATAAACAACATATAGCTGTAAAAATACAATATTATGGTGTGATGCAAAACCGATCATATCCAATTCTAAAATGAATGAGTGACATACCATGCCACTAAACCCAGTAAAATGCACGAGCATTTATACGTTTTCGCAAATCTGAGTTACAATATATGCTGCATACACACATTCTCAATTTAAAACATTTGATTTTCTAAAACTAGGACTCTGTTTAACCCATTCCCAACAATAATGTTTCCGAATCTGGGCACCGCGGATGTCAATATGGGAATGCATGATATTGGAACTGTGGGAAGCAGAAAAGTCGATTTTACTAGTGCTTGAATATCAGTATGCTGTTCAATGTGATGTTACTGACAAGATAAATGTGTTACTTTTTTTGAAGATGATTAAGAGAATACAGAGAATACAGTGCACAGTGCCAAGAACTCCATCGCTTCTCTCAATATCTGATTTTGCCAACGGATGTCTTTACTATCTGTCCCAAGGAAAGCTGCTGCGATCAAACCTTCCTTTTCATCTGCCTTCTCTTATTTTATGAATGTGCGTGCATATCATGTCTTATTTCATCGTATTTCGTGTCAGAATATTTTATAGTACATACAGCTTACACATTTCAACAAGTTTTACTATCCTCTCAGCTTATTGTTCAAGTGTCCTACTAGAAGGTTTTGTAGCACGTGAGGGCTGCAGCTTACACAGTTCCAACAAGCTTTCCTAGCCTATCAACATACTGCCATATTGCCCAAGTGTCCTACTAGAAGGTACAATTGGATAGCACGTGAGGGCTGCAGCTTACACAGTTCCAACGGTACAGAATATTGTAATAATGACGACATGAATATATACACAAATAAACTACAATACAAGTGCAAACACCACAAATAAGCAACAACCACTATCAGAGGATCATGTTTTAGTTGTTTGTACAATGACACACCAATCACTATTTTACAACATAAATAGCATACAGCCAGATAACTGAACAAGCCAGAGTATCCGTCTTGAACAATAATAGTTTGAAACCTAAAATACACAAACTATACGGGAACATCCATGGTGCAGGTAAAGGGGAAAAACAAGCAAGACAATGCCAGAAATCTGACTCGAACAAAGTCCCATTCCAAATTTTGTAGGTCATATTGATTCAAAGTGAGCAACCAAAGAGTAAATATATACACCGAAAGACTTCAAAATCTGAATGTATAAAAATATAATTTCAACGAAGTTCTTGATTCCACTCCCACAACACAAATAAATTTTACAATACACCAATGAGCCGGCAAATCAAATATGCATAAAAATTGGCACGAAAAAAGTAATCCCGAGATTACCTGTGTAAAAATTGGATAAAAACACCAAAAACAAATATACTTACGTCATTTACCTGAATGGCACTTTTCTACTCTAGTGCATTTTCACTAAAGGATTTGATATTTCTTGTAAAGTGTAAGTATAGCCATTCAAAATGATTTCGGAATTGCAATACGGCTGGTAAGATTGTCTCACCTAATCCAACCAAAGAAACACATATAAAATAATTCGAACAGTGACGATCGCCGCAAACACAACTCCGGCTAGTAAAAAATAATACAGCGCATTGAAATAATTTCTCTGGATTATCGGGTTCAGAAACAATCCCATTTCTGGCACCAATGTTGTAACATCGAGTAGTGTAAATAAATTATTGTGTTTGCATGACTGTATTATTACACAGACCCGGAAGAACTGGTAACGGCGTCTGATTTGCTCTGGAATCTCACGATAACTGAAGGTTAAATATTGGTATAGGCAAGATATGGGGCCTTCCAGGAGCTAGCTACCCGGAATCTTTGAAACTATACATAAACTAAAATGCCGTTCACAACAGTATTTTTACGATTGTCAAAGTGTGATGAACAATACTCCGAAGACTAACGATACCTTAATGAAAATAAATGCTAGTTATACTTACAAAAACCTTATCAGTCTATTAGAAACAAATATAAAGCAATTAGATCGAGAAATGTGACGGAAAAACTGAAATCATTAGTCTATTTACCTTGACTAGGTGATGTCCCATGATGCCCTGTCGATCCTCTGTGGCCATTTGCTCCAGGTATCCCAACGTCTCCCTTCGGACCGATAGGTCCAGTAATACCACGGGCACCTGCTGGTCCGATATCCCCCTTTTGCCCATTTCTTCCGGGTCTTCCTGTATCTCCTTTACTTCCCTTTGCTCCAGTGCTACCTTTTTGTCCTTCTAATCCTGGCGATCCCATGTCTCCTTTGGGCCCCGTAATTCCAACTTTTCCTCTGTCGCCTTTTGGTCCGTTGTTCCCTTTCAGACCAGGAAAACCCATTCTTCCACTGTCTCCTTTAGGCCCTCCGAGACCTGGTTCTCCTTTCTGTCCTTTTGACACTGCTTAGAAATATATTTCAATTAATGTAATCATAGAATTAAATGTTGCCTCGAAATTTGATAATGCTTCAAAAAATGATAATAAAAAAGATAATGTTTATCAAACATTGCAATGACTACAATGAATTAATATCCTACCTTTCGATACGTTCCAAACACTTGGCAATTGGAACGTAGGAGAATAAACTGTAAATAAAGCATACAACGTATTAATCATATTGAATAGTATATATAACACTCGGTTAACTTACAGGTACGTGACACTACGGATTTTTTCCGATACTTACGTACTGTCAACAGCACAAACCTATGAAATTACTGTTTGAATTTTTAGTTACTGTTTGAAGTAGAAAGAACTTCATTGTATCCCAAAAATCTGTCAGATAGTATTATATACGGATTACTAACATACCTGATTTTGCGCAATGAAGTTTAGCGTTTGACCACTTTCTGATAATGTTGCGCAAAGGAGATTTCCCAAATCCAGAATATTTGTTATGTAAACAACATAAAAAAGCTACTACTAGCGCTATCACATTTAGCACAATACGTTTAGCGCGATAATTGCCGTTTTATGTGTGCTTACAGTGAATTAGAAGAATGGTCTTACCTGTTGACCTCTTGTTCAACAGAGTTTGCGTTCCATGAATTTTTAGTTGATAGTTGTCTATTTGGTCTGCCTTTCGTGGCGTTTTGGTGTCAGCGATACCTTGCTTACTCCTTTTAAAGCAGAAGGAATTATATTGGATGTAGTTGATTTTACATTGCTTCATTTTTTATATCCGTTCGATATAGATTTCGAAATATCCATATTCATACAAAGAAGATCCTTTAACATGACACGTTTTTCAGACGGGATTCATTTATAAATATATCCTGATTATTTTTGTTAATCAAAACATATCCCCGATCTGTCAGTAAAAATGATCCTAAATTTGCTTAGGGCCTGTGTTATTACATGTTTGCCTATTCTATATCTCTATTTTGTCATTCCACTGGTGTTTTTAACTGCTACCTGTTTTTAAATGACACCTACTTTATTCTTAGTTTTGAAGCAAAATTTGATTTGGTCACTTTCCCTAAATTCCATTTCACTTGAAATGGCTTTATTTGGTATGGTTTGGTATGGTTTGTAGGGTTCACAACAGCCTTTGAAAATTTGTGCAAGTGGTTTTGCCAAACAATTGTTATAGATTAAGAAACAGCAAAATATAAGAAAACCACAAATCATAGCATAAAAATTAATTTACGGTCAACTACATATGACATTTTGATAATAGAGGTCGACTGAGTGTAACACTGAAATAACAGGTTATTTATATAGTTGTTTAACAATTAACAATTTGGATATTGAAAAAGGCAGCGCCAATAGCAACGGTAGTCTTATTTCACAGAAAGTAGGAAGGTTATCATGTACGAAAAGGCTTTCTCTTTCCTTTTTATTTTGCATTAAATTTCTCTGGCGATAACATTTTTCAACCGATATTTTCATATATACTATGAACGTGACCATTTCTAATACGGAAAGTGATTACAGAATGTGTTTTTAATTTGAATAAAAATCACCGAATGGTGTTTACAATATTACAAGAAACAAGTCAATTATAGAAATATACCCTCTTCCCCTTACTTTTATGATCTAATATTTACCTTAAACTCCATAGTTCCTCACTCATGTCGTCATACTTTTTTTGAACATTCTCCAGTTGAACATTCATCTTCAAAACGTAATTCTTCAAAGCAGATAGTTCAGATTGAAGGGTCTCATACTTCAAATCCTGTTGATCATTAGTGGCAAATGTCACAGCCAACACCATTATAAAAACTACAGCATATGCCATCTTGATTTTTTTATCAAATGACATGGAGAATAAGCGTTCACGTATGTCAATGTCGCGTTTTAGCATACGAACGTTTTGACACAAGAAGGTGAACTCTCATTATTTGCTAATCAAGGTTATTAGAGTAGTTGATCGTCTGTATATATCATTTTACTGTTTCTTCAAGCCCATGTGTTAATTTCAGTGACGATGTCTATATTAACGTCTTGTTTATAACAAAAAAAATGTATTATTAAGCTGACAATGCTTCTATATATTTGACCGAAGTCACTTTATCAGTCATGCTGGAAGGGCGGTTTGATAAGATGTTATAGGAGTTTCTACTGATTGCAGGTCAAGGTCAAGTATAAACGATGATTTAAAAGTATACCATCTGTGTATTTTAGTAATACATTAGCGTATAATGTATAATAATAAAAAGTGTATGTATGTGTCGATTTAATCAAATACACTGCATTGATGAACATGGCAAGTACAAGTATGAGTATTGGGTGCAATATAGGGCGTTAAAATACTATATTGTAATATTCAATCGTTACACTTCCTCTGCTACATTTTGCTAATTTGCACAAATCCAAGGTTATCTTAATGAAATTAATACGGATGTAAGAACATCTTTACTTAAATGACAGGTGTTTTATGTTTTTTAATATGTAATACAGAATTTCAACAGATGCGGAGTGATTCAAGTTATGGTGAGGTTTTGTGTTCGTCATGGTGATATCATAGAAGATTTCTCAATTACATCATTGTACGACCGTAAAATTTCCCAATAATTTTCAACCTACATAATAACCTGCATCTTTTGAAAATCTGTGTTGCAAATGTACGTCTGTTGACTATATCTTGTATTAAAATCGTTGATAATGAGAACAACCTCTTGAAAACTGTATCATCTGCGACAAGTATACAACATAGGTTAGATATTAAGGAAAGTTGCTATCCATCATGTTTATTATATAACTTTCTGAAAAGCTACTTATGTTGATTTCGATGTAGCAGATTCTATGGTTTCCAATTGAAGTGTATATGTACGATAGACATACATCTGAAAGTGACATTAAACGACTTTGCAAGGTATGTGTGACCTGATTCAAAGACGTATCGTGTAGAACCAATTTCAAAATAATAAAGATATGATCTGACCCTGATATAGTTTCATGGTTTTTGTATTCCAAGAACTCATATCCATACGGCAAGCATGTTCTGGAATAATTCAATATTACCAAATTAATTTCTGATATCCATTCTTCTATGATGGCACACCGCTTACTTGTACTTTTTCGCGAATTTGCTGCATTAAAAGCCCTGGATATGACATGGTGATATCAGGTCATAATCATTTAGTTTCACACTGAGATTTATATAGATCTCAAACGCTGCTGGGACTTTATCATCATTATGTATTCATGCACCTGTTAATTCAATTTTAGGCGATACAGCTTTTATTTGAATCGTTTAGAACGAGAGATTATCTTTATGTACATCGCTAACTCATTTTTGTCAGATCGAATTGGTTCTTAATATTCTATTTTTTTCTGTGATTTAAATCTATTTATTTCTTTTCTCATTTCAGTTTTTTGATTATTTTATGATATCTAAATCGGGATGTTCTGTTAATTGCTGTCTTAGTTCTGAAATGTTAGTTCTAAGGCCGCGTGTGTTCAAGCTGATTTAACGCTCTCTCCTGCCATGATTTGTTGATAACAAACAACTAACAAATCACTACCAATCGCAACGCTTTCCTAAAACTCTTGTATTGAAAAGGTGTTTTAATAAAAAAAAATAACACACACACACACCCTCACACACACACATCCACACACACACACATACAATAATGTTAACTGTTCCGTAGCTGATGAATTTTCTTCTGATAGACTTTTTCAAGGCGATATGGTTAGAGTCTTAATGTTTTTGATTAATATTTAATGAGGTTGATATGTTCTCGGGGATGTACTTAAAATAAATTTTTTAAAATCTTGGCGGCAAATGTTTGTTGGTTGATAGTTAAATAAAACAAAGAGGCCGAATTGGTCTGAATCGCCCGCCTGTTGTGAAGGTTACATAAACTGTTGGTTCGTTAAAACAAGGTTGAAATTCAATTTCTCTAGCATGCTACTACATAAATATCATGAGCCATGGCCAAGTAGTTATTGGTAAAAAATGTCGGCACATTTTATTCTTGTGCTTTTGAAGATGTCAAAAGTAATTGAGCTAGCATTGACTCATATGAATCATAATTTTTGAAAATATGAAAACTGTATTGTCTTTTTTGTGTCTTGAAATATGGAGCAGCTTTGATAAAATTGCTATTATAGTAAATCTATTTGACGACTACATCATCGGAATTCTTTCAACATTAACACATTCCTATGAAAAAGAATAGATGAATTCGCATAGTTATGTTGAAATTTCATTTGTTTCATATAGAGCGAGGCAAATTATATTGCTCACATGCTTTGACACACCTCACAGATCAGGGGGTCGATTATAAATAAAATCGCATGTCCTATGTCTAACGACTTTAAAAGTGTCTGATATATAGGTCATTATGAAGTAATGAGAAATGTTGGGTGGTAGTAACGCATTCGCCTTTCACCTCACTAACCGGGGTTCGATTTCCATTACGGACGTAAACAAGGGATTATCTGCACGGCCATGTTGGTTTTCATGGGTTCTCCGGTTTTTCTTTCACAATAACACCCCTTGCACTATTAGTAAAAGTTAAAATAAATTGTTTCACAAACGTTTCAAAATGAATAAAAATTGATATCACATATGTGAAATGATTCAAGCTGTTACTGTATTGACAGTTATGGAAATCTGCCAATAGACAATTGTTATGATATACATGAAAGATGAAATGCATGTTAACAACACAGATATATCATTAAGTCATTATAGAGAATGACAAAAGGAGATAAAAGAATACCCACTGAAGGCACGTATAAACAAAACAAAGATTTACACGAAAACCACTGAAAAAGACAAGGTGTTTCGGAATGTTGAGCGTCTTCTGTTTCATCGTCGAACTGCAAACTGGGTCAACATCCGATCGTCCCCGAAGCGGCCGACCCCGTAAAACGACCGCCAGGGATGACCGTCGTATACGATTGATACACGTGCGCAATCGATTCGTAACCGCAGTAGAGACTACAAGGATATTGTTTGGGCGTGTTTGTATGTCTCCCCAGACAGTCCGTAACAGGTTGAGGGCCTACCAATTGAAAGCGCGGCGTTACTACACTGGACACAATTTGTTGCGACGTCACCGCAATAATCGGCGTAACCTGACTCGTGTTCACCGTCGTTGGGCCTTACGCCAATGGAACAGTATTCTGTTTTCAGATGAGCCCAGGTTTTGTGTGCAACACGATGACGGAAGGCGGAGAGTGTGGAGGCGACGAGGGGAGCGTTTTGCGAACTGCTGCGTCGCAGAACGGGACCGCTTTGGCGGCGGAAGTGTAATGGTTTGGGGTGGTATTTGTGGGGGGACTCGTACCAGGCTTGTTGTGTTAAATGGCAATTTAACCGGCATTCGATATCTGGACGAAATTTTAAGACCGGTGGTTCTGCCATTCTTAAGACGCCATGGAGTTGGCGCCATTTTTGAACAGGATTACGCACCAGTGCACACCAGTCGCGTCAGCGGAACTTTCTTGCAGCAGAATAACGTACAGGTGTTAGATTGGCCATCTAAATCACCTGATTTGTCACCGATTGAGCATGTCTGGGATGTTCTTGGGCGACGTGTGAGAGAACGTCAAACTTGCAGGAGCTGGCCCAAGCCTTGATCGCTGAATGAAACAACATCTCTCCTCGAATTATCCGCCGGTTTACGAGTTCCACGACGCTGCAATGCCGTTCACTTCGCAAACGGTGGCCATGCCCGTTACTAATGTTGTTACCTTTGAAATTGACCCCAACGTCCTTTATAGTCAAATAAAATCAACTGAACGCAAAGTTTTATAATGAACCATGACTGCAGTTTTATCAGAATTGATCAATTACTTTATTCGTACATGATTGGTAAGGATTTATGAAGGGGTTAATGAATTAATCACAGAATAAAGTAGTGTTACCTTTCTTTAGTTGTTTAGTGTAGTTCAATGTTTGAAAGTTTTTTCGAAAGTGAGTATTCATCGTTTCAGAGGATTATGCAAATGAATTAAATCATCGAAGCTGTTATAGCTAATTGAAATACTTCTATACATAATAATTGTGACCTTGACTTTGAGAGCCAAACCAAGAAACAGTTTGCATCCGCATCAACACAGTTCCCTTTTTAAGTAAAGACCGAAAGCTATGAGGTTCGTATATTGTATCTATACTGTTGTAGGATCCCACAACGTAGCACAATGTGCGATGTGTGTGCGATGTATGTACTATACACACGTGATAGGAAAATTGGACGAAATAAGCTATCGCACAAATATGCGATTCAACGTGGTAGATATAAATTAAGAAATGACTTATTAATAAATGTTGGATAGGGTTTTTTAATTTTCTAAAAATATAAAAACACAACTAAGTATATGTCCTAATCAATTCATTTATATGTAGGTTGCACACTTGTAGATGTATAAGAAACATATAGAATAGCTAGATACACTCGTAATTTTAAGTGTTTTCTTTACAAAGAGCAACACGTGACTAGCCATAGTGTACGGACACACATTATATATACAATATATAAACATTAAATGGACGTCTCTCTTTGTCACATCAATAAATCACTTAAATTCTTATACCGTCAGAAAGTAAATTCAATTTTCATTACCTCTATATTACTCTTATTTTTCATTCATTTTGCAAACAAAAAATATATGCTCAGGTAAGTCTTAACTGTTGTGTTTGTTACATGGGCGATCCAGCCGGGACGGATACCGACCTGTCACATATATACCCGTGTTCAGGTAAACTTACCACTACTCGCCACTTTCGAAGGTTATAATGTTCATGTGATCGCTATTTAGTAAAACCTGCACGAATTTCCGTTTAATTTTCATTTCCATAATTTCCATATTATTAGCCAACCGTTTTTTCCAAACCGAATAAAATGTGAGATCCTATTGCACAGTTGTGCGCACGATATTGTATCATGCGTGCGTGCGCAAGACGTACACACGACGATTTTGCGTTCAGCGTTACCACAACTGTACTGAAATTTCTTTTAACACAAACCAAACGATGTAGAAGATAGAGCATATATTTTGTTGATATCAAGATGTATCGGATCGTGTCTGAATACCATCAACAGAGGCATTCCTTGTCCCATCATTCCATACCTCGCTGCTAATTTGGTTGCTGCGTTATTTTCTAATGGACTCGTGAAACCAACAACGCAACCCTTAGGAACTTCACTTGCAATTTTTAAAAATACTTCGTTAGCTACATACTCATTGTTCGCATAAAGTGGAGCGATTTGGAGGCATGTGTCCTGGAACCTCAGAACTGCATATCCACAAAGTTTGCCATCTTTTACCGCAACATAGGTCTTTGATTGGGGATTAGAAATCCAATTAATGATGTAAGCTTTTCGTGGAACTTTGTGAATCTGAGTGTCATACTGTATCACAGCTGACAATGTGGAGTGTTTTAAGGGATGGATGAGAACTTGTTCTTCGTGTTTATGCCTGGGATTTAGATCGACATGTTGTTCAATCCGCCCGCTATTGTACCAGGTGGTGTATGCTTGCGTCGTGTTGCTTTTCGTAATCATGTTAATCTTGTCCTGCATGTGTGGCCAGATAAATCCAGCATAATTTCTGTCCGGAAATCGATTTATTGTCTTTGCAAGCTTATATCCAACACTTGAAGATCTGTAATCTTTGTGGACAATCCATAACCCTGATACATAGAGATTATCCGTGAAGGACAATGATGAATAACATCCTGAAAACAACACAAGTGATTGTAGCAATGAAATTGAATATTCTATACAGATTTTATACACAGATGAATACTAAGCAATGTTCAATAGTTGTTTTTTTTCAGACGCAGATGTTAATATACATACCCCCAAATAAAGAGTATCTATCTCTTTTTTTAATTAACATAAAAACAGGCCTATTTTGTTTCCGCTGAAGTCAGAAGGACGACGGTATGTCATAGTTTTGTTTTTCTTTCATAGTGAAAAATAAAGAAGAAAAATTACAAAATAGTGAAAAATGATAGAAACGATCCGATACTGTATTTAGAAATCGCTTAGACAATGTTAACAATCAACAAAACACAACACTATTTATTAGTATTTATATCACGTTGTGTCACGTGATATCAGAAATATCACAGTTAACTCTATATGTGGTTCCCTGTTGCTAAATATCAGTGTCGTTTTATATAATAAATTTGAAATGCAAATTTCATTTTTTAAATCATCAATATTTACCAAAACACAATTTTTCTAGATAGTTGTTGTGAAATGTATTTATGGGCGTAGGAGACATGTAATTTAGCCATCCAGTTAATAAGGGTGTAGTGCCCTGAATAGAACGGCTTAGCATGGGGTAAAACGGGAGAAACATATATTACGTTCGGCTTATGTTTAATTCTGTTACAATGCTATTTTTTTTTTTAATCTTTGAGATAGCAAGTGATAGACACTGCTGGTGGACTGTTTGCAGTTTCCGAGCTTTTTGCGTAAGCTTCATGCAACGTTTCAATTCATTAGAAAATTTGTACAGTATAGGTTATACATATGTACTCTATAATTATCTGAAAACTCTTCCAGAAGGAGATATGGTAAGACAACTATCACCATTTTAGGCGCATTTTCTGTCTAGAAAATCCAAAAGAGGATTGGAGTGAGTCAATTGACTTATTTGGATTGAGTTAGATTTACATATCGCTTTCTCCTCCGGAACACTTGGTCATATTCTCTTTGTACGTTTTCAGTAGTTTCCGTGTAATTTTTCTTTAATCTATATTTTCCTCACTTTTATTTGAATTTGAATTTGGATTATGATGATGTTGACTTATAGGTATTTTCTTGTATTAGGAGACTTTCATTTTCTCTTCAAAGCTTTGATCTGTATTCACTGATTAAATCTGTGATATATTAAGGATGCATTGAAGTACAAAAGAAACAGATTTCGAGAAACAACATGTGGGTTACAGATTGAAATTTGACATATGGCATGTGTTTTTATACATATGAGGTCATGACATCCATATCTACTGACATGTATATTCCAATTTACAGATGAGGGACTGCACAACGTTACACGATCCGATGTGCGCACGATAGGGAAATTGGACGAAATGAGTTGTCGCACATTCGTGAGCGCGTTGTGCGGTTTTATCGCACACATGTGCGATTCTTACGTGGTTGACATACATTCCGAAATGACTTTTAAATAAGTGTGGGATAGGGTTTATTTATTTTTTAAACATATAAGAATACCACTTCGAGTATTCCCTAATTAAGCCGTGAATATTTAGGTTGGTCACTTGTAGATTTACGGCAGAAATAAGAAATAATAATATAAAAAAAAATTGAACACCAACTTGTGATTATCTAACTTTAAAAGACGTCATTATTTATTTCAGTGCCTCCACTAGGATTCGAACACGTGGCACTTGATTAACTTGTCTAAATCTATAAATAGTATCTTTCTAACAGAGCGGCATTTTCCGGTTAGTATTTTACCAGTGCTACATACTCCTCCTCCAGGAAGTAACTCGTCTTCGAGGTAGGACTACAGCGATGTTAGTGAAAGTAGCGCTGCGTATATGTTTCATTCTAGAGGTCATAATTACAACGGCTACGCTAGGATTCGAACCTGGAACATCTGGTTTTCTACTTTAACGCTCAAACTATCAAGCTGAAAGTCTTTCTAACTTAGCGGTAACGTGCGAATACTATTTTGCTATGGACAAGCCATAATCCTAATACTAGATTACCCGTGAGGCAAAAGGGACAACGAAATCCTGGAAACAATACAAGCGATTTTATCAATACAACTTGTGTTCTTTACCAATTTTGAAGATAGATTAGTGTTGTGCAATGCTTTTGAAACTGATTATTCCAAGCTTTTTAGAAATAGATCATATATACCTAAAAAAATCAGGCATGACTTGTCTTTGATGAATTCAGGAGCACGGCTTCATTTATTTTTTTTCTTTGACATATTTGCTAACAACAGGCCCATGGGCCTTAACAGTCATCTGTCTATAAAAACCTATTTATGAAAGAGGCAGAAAAGGCCTAAAAGAAATTGCTCAATTACTCTACAGCTTACATAGAAGACATTGTTTGTTCATCGAGACATGTTATGCAATCATATTCTTTATACATGCACTACTTAATTGCCATTACTCCGGACGTATTGCATGTTGAAAAACATGCTATAGACCCAATATTGAGACCCTTTATCTATTAGTTACTGAGAAGAAGTCATTTTGATACATTGCATACCCGTGACCTTGAAAGAGGGTTAATGTCATTCATATTAACAAAGTTGGTAACCTTTCATCCTAGCAGGCTACAGGTCTAGGATCATTCATTGCGTTTTGGTTGTTGAGAAGTCATTTAAAGATTTTAACATATTTGATCCCTGTGACCTTTCAAGCAAATCAAGGTCATTCCTATTTACCAGGAGTCGAATCAACTTTCGGAATTTAAGAAATGATCTCCCATTCCTAGTGATGTTTGTGTCTGAATTAGGTAGAAAACCATTCCAAAATTAAGAAAGAGCAGCATTTTGAAGAAAAATATCGACTAGCTTCCTTACAGGTTAAAACTTCTTTCTGAAGATCAGAAATCCTTCTCTACTCTCAATGCTGTTTCGGGCCAAATTTGTTTGAATCAATGCAATCATTAAAAAGAGGTGGTGTTTTGAAGCAAAATATTGAATAATTTCCGCTTTTGGGACCCATCCCTAGAGGTCGAATCAAATTTCTGCATTGAGAAAAAAAAACTTGCTCGATGACGTTTCAAAATTAATTTTGTTGAAATCCATTCAAGAATTAAAAAGGAGTAGTAGTGTTTTGAAGCAATATTTTGACAATTTTCCCATTTTTGGGCCCCATCCCCAAGTCCCTAGGGTTCGAATAACATTTCTGAATTTAAGAAATAATTTCCCACCATCAATGTTGTTTTAAACCAAATTCAAACATTAAAAAAGGAGTAGCGTTTTGAAGCAAAATATTGTATTATTTTTCCCTTTTCGGGTTCTGTCCCTAAGTCCGAAGTTTGGAATCAAATTGCTGAATTAAAAATTAATTACCATTACCAAATGATGTAGCAAACCAAAAGAACTATTTCATATTTATAGTGGTCAATTAGTGCTTACCAATTATTTCTCTGTCTACCGTCTCAGCCACATCGAAATCCCGTGGATTAGTTTTAAATGCACAGTCTAAGTATGCTTTCTCCATAATCCACTTTTTGTCATCAAGTAAATGATTAACTCTCGTTAAATCCTGCTCTTTCATTGAACGAATCCTGAAGTGGACATTTGAAAAAGCGCGTGTCCTGTAAAAATGAAAACAACTTAAAACAAACATAGTATTATCTATTTGAAAAAGAAATTCAAAAGTAATGATTAATAGAAAAAGTGGATGCATGCGTGTGTGAAATAATCAATTTTTCGTATTACTCGTGCAGATGCAATGTTAAGGATTTGTTGTTTTAGTATCGCCATCATTTTGCCGTCAGGTGATGCAATTGTAATATACAACAGACACTAAGGTATGTTTTGGCTTTCTAGATCGTACAAAATATATATCCAGGTAAGGTCGTTATGTATATATATAAAGTGCACCTGTGTTGTAGCAGTCAATGTCGTTGGATGGACACGTTGCCTATGTACAGCTACAAGCATCACGCAATGTTTTAATATGATACTGGGTTTCGTAAGAATATTATTTACTTTCATGACAGATTATATTGCTCACATTTTTTTGACACACCTCACATATCAAATGGGCGATGATAAAAAAGAGCACGCCTTTTTCTAATGACCTTAAAAGTGTCTCATATATAGGTCATTATGTACTTATGTGAAATGTTGGTTGGTCGGAAGATGCTTTGGTAACGCACTCGCCTTTCACCTCTCCACCTGGTGTTCGACTCCCTTAATGGACGTAAGTAAGAGGTCATCTACCCTACCATGTTGATATCACCTATGCGAAATATTTGTTGTCACTCTAAGTGACAGTTTCTAAATATTCAAGATGTAACTTTATTTACAGTTAAGGATACCTGCAAATAGACAATTGTTATGCTACACATGAAAGATGAAATTACATTAATTACACAACTTGTGTTATGTTTTCGAAACTCATTGAAATGATAAATAAACAGAAAAAGGTGAATATCTTTGAATTTAATTTGCAATTTGATGACATCCGACAGAGATATCAATGTGTCAGCAGAATATTGTATCTGAATATTGATCGAGATTGACTTGACGGGTTTCAACGAAAAAACTTGTACATTTTCCGAGAGTCTTCGTGTAAGTCTTTATTTTTTTGACATTTTACCTTACTTTGAACATTTTCAGTCTTAATGAAGATTATTATGATGAAATGCTGATATCAAACCCTTTTTGATCAGAATAATCAGCTCTAAGTATTGTAAGTATTGTTGCTTTATTTCTTTCACAATTTCAAATTGAACATATTTACTGAAACTCAATGTAATGTCGGGTGACTGATTCTCAGCAGATTTGCAACGCAGTCGATAGGTACAACCCCATTTTCTGCTTAATGTAACAGGGGAAAATACTTTGAACCTATACCCAAACACAAGCAGAAAAAAGTCATAATAGAATATGACAAAAGGAGATAAAAGAATACCAACTGAAAATGCATATGAACAAAACAAAGATTTACACGAAAATCACTGAAAAAGACAAGGTGTTTCGGAATGTTGGGCGTCTTATGCTTCATCATCTAAAAGTAAAATGATCATACATTGCATAATAAGATGAACTCTAGAAACCATTTAATCATATCTCTGTATACAAATCATATGGACTAAATATTATCTGTCAAAAGGAAAATTTCAAGTGAGTCATTTATTATCTTGACAAAAATGAGTTATTATTTTCTTCGTTCCTATTTCAAAACTGATCAGCTTGTTTTAGATAAAAGCGATAAGCAATGTTCAGGATTTGTTTAATTAGTATTGCCATGATTTTGCCGTCACGTGATGCAGTTGTGATATACAACAGACACTAAGGTATGATTTGACTTTCAAATCGTACAAAGTATATATCCAGGTAAGATCGTTATGTATATATATAAAGTACACCTGTGCTGTAGCAGCAAACATCATGCAATGCTTCAATATGATACTGGGTTTCGCAAGTATGTCATTTACTTGCATGACAGATTATATTGGTCACATGTTTTTGACACACCTTACAGATCAAATGGTCGATGATATAAAGAGGAGCATGTCCTATTTCTAATGACCTTAAAATGTCTGATATATAGGTCATTATGTACTTATGTGAAATGTTGGGTGATCGGGTGGCGCTTTGGTAACGCACTCCCTTTCACCTCACCATCCGGGGTTCGATTTCTATTACGGACGTAAGTAAGGGGTTATCTGCACGACCATTTTGGTTTTCACGGGTTATCCGGTTTTCTCTCACAATAAGACCCCTTGCACGATTAGTATGTATTAAAAAAATTGTTTCGCAAACGTTTGCAAAATGAATAAAAGCTGATATCACATATGTGATATGATTCAAACTGTAACTGTATTGACAGTTCTGGATACCTGCCAATTGTTATGATATGCATGAAAGATGAGATGTATGTTAACAACACAGATATATCAATAAGTCATAATAGAGAATGACAAAAGGAGATAAAATAATACCCACAGAAGGCACGTATGAACAAAACAAAGATTTACACGAAAACCACTGAAAAAGACAAGGTGCTTCGGAATGTTGAGCGTCTTCTGCTTCATCGTCGAAACTTAAAACGTTCTTACAGTGTATACAATAAGGATGAACTCCAGTTATCATTTGATCATATCTCTGCATGCAAATCAAATAGACTAAATACCATTTGTCAAAAGTAAAATTTCAGGTGAGTCGTTCATTGTCAATACCAAAATATGTTATTGTTATTTTCGTTCCTAATTCATAAATGATCAGTTTGTTTTAGATAAAAGCGATAAGAAACAGGCAGAAAGACAAGAAACCACTGTATATTGGATACTTTCAAGCAGTCCCAAAGTCACAAACCGAACCATAGCGTTCTTTAAATTATTCAATTATTATAGGAATTTTACACACATTTACTTGTTTCTCGCAAATGGAACCAATGTGTCAGCTCCCATCTCAAATAGGTCAATGTTTGAGCAGTTTTGATGATAGTAAGTATTCATCGTTTCAGAGGATTATGCAAAATGAAGTGAAATTTTTGAAATACTTCTACAAATAGTAATTGTGACCTTGACCTTGACACCTAAGAAACATTTTTGCACCTGCATCAACACCGGATGATACTCAACAGGAAATACATAGATGCTAACTGAAATGCCCTCTGTCATTTTTTAGTAACAAAATGCAAATGTCTGAATTCGATATCGGACAGTTCCTTTTACATCAATGACAGAAAGCGAAGAGTTTCCTATATGATATTTCTACTTATATTGCTTATAACAAACCGAACGATGTAGAAGACAGTGCATATATTTTGTTGATATCAAGATGTATTGGATCATGTGTGAATACCATCAAAAGAGGCATTCCCTGTCTTTATTTATCTAGCTATATTTTAAAAAAAAACCAAATGCTATCGTTTGTTTGTAAACTGAATATGATTTTGTAAGGAAAAAACACGAGACTGTTAGCAAGGCATTTCTGTTCTCTTCGGCTTCTTCAGGCGGATGTTTATGTGTCGCAACTGGGTACGTAACATCATCAGTAAACATTAAAACATAAAACGTCATCTGTCAATATAAGAATGGAATTTGTTAACACTATTCATTCATGTTGTAATAATCATAGTGTACTTGAACTAGATTTCAGAAATTTGATAAACAATCCTTTTTAAATTTTTTTACATTGTAATCATGATATCTGTATTAAGAAAGGCGAGGAATTCATATTTAAGACACAGATGCATGTGTTTGTAAACTTTAAGAACCCTGAATAATTTTTATTTGCCTTTTATTTACATTCATACACAATCGTTATTCATAATATGTTTGTCCCACATAAAATCACTACATTATTTACGTACTAAAACAAACCATGTATGTTTAAAACAAAACGTTATATCAGACGTATTTCATATACCTGAAAAGGCAGTTAATTCTTCATTCTGTTATGATCTTACACCTTGGTGTTATACATTTACAACATTCATGGCTTCAATATCGAATTGATATCACACCTCGGTTTAATACATTGACAACAATCTTTTCTCTATATTGAATTAATGCATACCTTGGTGTTAAACATTTACAACATTTGTAGCCTCAATATCGAATTGATATCCCACCATGGCGTTATACATTTACAATATTCGTGTCTCAGTATCGAATTAATACCGCACCTTGGTGTTATACATTTACGACATTCGTGGTCTCAATATGACATTAATATCGCACCTTGTTGTTATACAATTACAATATTCGTGTCTTAATATGGCATTAATATCGCACCTTGTTGTTATACTTTCACAATATTCTTGTCTCAATATCAAATAAATACCGCACGTTGGCGTAAAACATTTACAGCATTCGTGGCCTCAATATCGAATTCAGAGTTAGAGTTTACATTTCTATTTCTTTTCCATTTCCAAAATAAAAACCTCAGTTTTATGTGTAGTTTTCACATTTGAGGAAATGCGATGAGATACAATGACCTGAATTGTAAAAACGTAAAAATAGTATGATATTGGTGTCTTTGTTTTGAGATCTTAAGGAGGTCTACCTAACTCGAATTTATGTTTTTGTTATCGCATACTTTTTTGTTTTACCCTTGTAGTATATTGTAAATTCCTCAAATAGAGCTACAATTCCAGCATTGCTGTTTTAGATTACTTTGTATTTTCATATCAGTTTCCGATCTTTTTTTCAGTTTGGAAAAGAATACCAGATTGATACATCTAAAGAAAAAAAAACATCTTATTTTATTAGGCAACTCATAACAAGAATTAGGTCAAGTCTACAAAAATCTTACCAAATTTCTGGTGAGAGAAACCAAATTGGAGAGGGAAAAGAAAAATATGAACTCAAGAGGTAGTTAGGCAGGGGCAACATATAAAATTTACCAAGGAGTTTAAAGACATTACAAGGAGTTTAGATGTATTAGCTGAAACAGATGTACAACGACTTTTACATATTTCAAAACACCATGATATACATATTGTCTCAGAGCTCGCTAAATTTGTAACTTGATAACATGTTAGATATGGATCTGGCTTTGAATTTTCATATTCGTAACGCTCCACAAAATTAAAGTATTAATGACATAATCGGCAGAAGCACAGTAAAACACTATACATTATTTACAAAAAAAAACGAAAATGCACTTGTTTCTTAAAACCGGTAACAATGTGCCAGTTCCCACCTCAAACGATTCGATCTGTGAGCCATTTCGTCAATAGTGACCAGTGACCTAACCAGGAAATATGTTGCATTTACATCAACACCGGATAACACTCCAGAGGAATTACATGGACACTTATTGCACTCTGTCATCCTTACAGTAACAAAAAACGCATTTTTAAGTTCGATGCCTGACAATTCCTTTTATCAAATAATGACAGAAAGCAAAGAGTTTCTGAAATTTCTTCTAACACAAACCGAACGATGTAGAAGATAGAGCATATATTTTTTTTATATCAAGATGTATCGGATCATGTCTGAATACCATCAACAGAGGCATTCCCTGTCCCATCATTCCATACCTAGCTGCTAATTTGGTTGCTGCATTATTGTCTAATGGACTCGTAAAACCAACAACGCAACCCTTAGGGACTTCACTTGCAATTTTTGAAAATAATTTGTTAGCCACATACTCATTGTTCGCATAAAGTGGAGCGATTTGGAGACATGTGTCCTGGAACCTCAGAACTGCATATCCACAAAGTTTGCCATCTTTTACCGCAACATAGGTCTTTGATTGGGGATTAGAAATCCAATTAATGATGTAAGCTTTTCGTGGAACTTTGTGAATCTGAGTGTCATACTGTATCACGGCTGATAATGTGGAGTGTTTTAAGGGACGGATAAGAACTTGTTCTTCAGGCTGGTGCCAGGGATTTAGATCGACATGTTGTTCAATTCGCCCGCTATTGTACCAGGTGGTGTATGCTTGCGTCGTGTTGCTTTTCGTTATCATGTTAACCTTTTCCTGCATGTGTGGCCAAATAAATGTACCAAAATTTCTGTTTGACACCTGGTTTATTCTCTCGACAAATTTACATCCAACACCAGAAGATCTGTACTCCTTCTGGACAAACCATAATCCTAACACGTCGAGTTTATCCGTGAGGGAAAGTAGTCCATGAAATCCTGTAAATAACACAAGGGATTGTATCAATGTATTTAAATGCTCTTTAAAATATCATACATAGAAGAATGCATAGCGTTGCCTTAAAGCTGATTATTTTTAAGAACCAGATTTATATTACAATTACCCAAATTAAAGAATATTTTCCTCTTTGTTTTAAATTTATTTTCAATCTGAACTTGACAGTGCCAATTTCCTTATTATTTTTCGAAGCAAATTATTTTGATATTTTCAAAACTTTTCTTCCGAGAATTTAGACGGCGTCGACAAAATCTTTACTTGTTCATTGAACATTATGACATTTATATCTTCGTAGATTCTTCCTTCAAATCATAAAAAAGGCAAATACAAAGATGAAAATTGCCAAACAAGCACAAATTAAAGTAAAGTCAAAATTAGATAGTTTTCTACTACAAAGCATACATTATATGCTCGAAAGATATCATTAAGGTATATACCGGTTTGTCGCCTTATTGAACTCCGGCCACCTAGGTTTCGAATCCATGACCCTTGGTATACTTATCTAACGCTCAGTCGATCGAGCTGAAGAAATCATCTTTCTAGCCGAGTAGCATTTAGTGGCTAGTATTATTTCAGATTTAATACCCCTTCTGCCAAAAAATGACTCGTCCTCGAGCTTCCAGTGGTTAAAGCCATGCTAGTTTAGGTAAAGCGAAGTACTATTCCTGAGGTCATTATTCCAATGTCTCCGCTAGGATTCGAACCCGGAGCCTCTTGTTTACTAGTCTTACACTTATCCAATCAAAATAAAGATAAGATTATTCAAACTGTGCGGTAATTAGCGACTAGCATTTCACCAGCGTTCCAATTACTGATCAGCTGATTTTTCTCCCATATTTGTAAAGTCATCAGGATAAAATTCAAACTTACCAATGATTTCTCTGTCTACCGTCTCAGCCACAACGAAATCCCGTGGATTAGTTTTAAATGCGCAGTCTAAGTATGCTTTTTCCATAATCCACTTTTCGTCATTAAGTAATTGATTAACTCTCGTTAAATCTTGCTCTTTCATTGAACGAATCCTGAAGTGGACATTTGAAAAAGCGCGTGTCCTGTAAAAATGAAAACAACTTAAAACAAACATAGTATTATCTATTAGACAATGAAATTCAAACGTAATGATTAATAGATAAAATGGTTGCATGCGTGTGTGAAATAATCAACTTACTGCCTTTCAATTTTTAGTATTACTCGTGCAGATGCAATGGTCAGGATTTGTTGTTTTAGTATCGCCATCATTTTGCAGTCAGGTGATGCAGTTGTGATCATACAACAAACACTAAGGTATGTTTTGGCTTTCTAGATCGTACGATGTATGTCTCCAGGTAAGGTCGTTATGTATATATATGAAGTACACCTGAGTTGTAGCAGTCAATGTCGTTAAATGGACACGTTGCCTATTTACAGCTACAAACATCACAATGTTTCAAGATGACAATGGGTTTCGTAAGAATGGTATTTAATTGCGTGGTACAGATATGTTAACAAGATATGTTTGTAACTTCAGAAATAAAATAGCATGCTAACGCATATTGGACTATTGGATTTTAGTGTGAATTGAAAGAAGTCCTTGTAAGAGTTGTTCTCATATGTTTAATCGTCCTTAATTAACTTTGAACTAAAGAGCTAACAATATACTGGAAACACGTGGTAGAAACGTGTCACACATGATTGTTATATATGATATTCATTTCACTCTCGTTAGTTATTTTCTCTAGAATTAGATAAAAACATGTTCTCTTCGAGTAAAAATGTTATATAAAACAATTACTTGTGTACATCTCTATACATAGTATATCTACTATGCCTTGATGGTGCTCCACAAAATTATATAAAATTT